GGCCATGTCACTGTGCACAGAGGATCCTAGGTCTACATCCGAGAGCGAGAGCTCAGAGAGGGCTGAGGCCACACTGCTCGTGAGACCCACCATGGAGAAGAAGAGGTCTGTGGGCCAGGGCAAGGGAGGTCAGGGAAAGCTGTACTTGGCCCCCATGACTCTTGCACCCAGGCTAGCTGCCCAGTCAACTGCCAGGTCTGGCCCCACACCCACCAGTGTTGTCCGGGTTGACAAGAGGATTGGTAAGGGGTTCTGAGCTGAGGGGCTCAGCCACAGCCCCTGCCTGCAGCTGCTGGTTCAGGTCCTGCTCAATCAGCCACAGGTCTTCAGCACCTAGTGGGCGGCTCTTGTTCAGCTTGCCAACCAGGCCCTCTGGGTCTATGGAGGAGGACACTTCTTTGTGTCAGACCAGCTTGGGTGGCCCCTCCCTGGCCATCCCATCCCCTGCAGCACCCAGAGGCCTCACCTGCAAGGCTCATGGCACTGAGCAGTTCTTGAAGCTGCTGGAGCTGCCGAGGGGTCAGGAGCAGATGCAGGGAACCCAGCTGTCCAGCCACCTCCAGCTGGGATAAAAGGGACCAGGGGGCAACAATGTGGCCTTCTGAGAGCCACCACCCACCTGCCCTCACCTCCTCGGGATGCCAGTTCCCAGGCTAAGCTCTGTCACTAACTAGTTGTGTGACCCTGGCCAAAACTTGTCCACTGAGCTTGGTTCTCTATTGCCAAGAAGTCAGTAATCTCCTCCACACAATGATCCTGCTTTGTAGTGGGGATCACCACTGCTGAGGACTTTCTGAAACGGGGCATACTGCCTCCTCCACAGGAGCTGGGGACCCACCTTTGGGCCTGGGAAGGCTTCATTCTGCTTCAATTTCACTGTCAACTCCATATACCCTGAGCAGCTGCCGATCTGCAATGGGGGCTTCGGAGGCTCTTCCTGAAGGCAAGAGGATACAGGAGGGAAAGGGTTGAGAAGATGAGGTCACAGATGGTCAGAAGGGATGGGGTGCAGTGGGGCAGACAGGAGAGAAGACAGGGATTAGGAGAAAGAAACTAGGGATCAGAGTCAGCCCACCTGTGGGGGGAGCTCCTCAAAGTGCAGGCGGACTCCTGCCAGCTGCAGCAGCTTGTGCAGAAAGGCAGGAGGCTGGTGCACATCCACTGGAGGTGCCTGGCTTGGGTCCCGCACTGCCTCATCACAGTACTCCAGTCTGGGGAGTGTAGGATCAGCCCTTACCCCAGCCACCCCAGGCTGGAGCCCCTCTCCCTATTCAGCATTGTGTTTTAGGGGTCTGGGGTCAGAGGGTCTGGCCAGCAGAGCTGCCCCACCATAGCCAGGCCATCATGGACCCCCATGGCCAGCCCTTGCTCTTCAGACCCTCAGTGTGTAACCTGATCCTTGGGGCCGCAACAATTCGGCCCCTGGACTCCATTCCCACAATATGGTCTCTCTACCACCATAGCCACTATCACCCAGGCCCACCCAAGATTTGCCCTGTTACTTCCCAGGAGCCTGAGCAGGGGTAAGGGGCAGGGGCAAGGCCAACACCATTCAGCAGTCCCTCATTCCCCTTCCTCTTCATACTAGCCCACCCCGCCTGGCATGCCCCTACCTCTGTACATGGATTTCTACTGCCACGCCATGCTCCCCATCACCCGACGAGTGCTCTACCCTCACGACAGTGTCCAGGAAGGTCACCTTGATCCTTCGCAGCACTAAGTGGTAGAAAGGGGTCTCAGGCCAGGTGGAACAGCAAGGGGCAGGCAGAGTTTCCCCACTGGGGCAGCAGTGTGGCCATCCTGTCGTCTGGGGCCTGTCTTGTGGGCGACGGAGGTATAGAGAGCAGGGTAGCCATTAGAGGCCCACTTACCTGTCTCAATGGTCTGGGCAAACATTTCCAGTCCCTCCAGGGGCTGTGGTGGCTCAGAGGGCTCAGGCAGCCCGTCCCGAAGGCACTCCTGAGCCAGCTGTAGGCTGGTGGTCATGCATGAGGCCCAGGTCTGCGAGTCGGCAGCCCCTGACCCTATGAGTAGGAAGAGGGTCTCAGGAGAGGCAGGTCTAGTCAGCAACTAGGCAGGCCTAGTCAGTAGGCCTACTCCTACCACTTGCTCCCCAACCCCCCAACCCCAGCCTTGCCCTGCCCTCACCCGGGCCTTGACGAGGTTGCAGGGTGAGCTGGAGGCCCGACACGTGCACGGTGCAGTGGTCGGTGAGCAGCGCAGCCCAGGGCACGGCCACCTCGATAGAGCCCACGAAGCCTTCCACCAGCTCTAAGGGTGATTCTATGGACTCCAGCACTTCGTTCACAGACTGGGAGCAGGGAAGGGACAGATCCGGCTTAGGGAAACTCCAAATGTGGCTGTCTCCTTGGCGGCCGCACTTTTTGGTCTGCTCTGACCTTGGAGAGCTCCCTGGTTCTCCCTGCCCCTCCCCATGCTACCTGAGTGCTACCATTGCTCTAATTGATTCCTACTCTTGGGGTCTACCCAAATGTGTTCCATCCTTAATGCCAGAGAAGGGGGGAGCTGAAGGATGAAAAAGAAGGAGCCAAGCGGAGAGGATGGAAGGTGGCATGACCCAGGCATGGGAACAGCACGTGGCAAGGCCCAGCAGAGTGTGGCAGCACCCATGTTCTCTCTGGGCAAATATGGAGTTCAAGGGGAGTGTACAGGAGAGGCTGGCAGAGGGCTCATCTGAGAGGGGGGACCCCCTCCCACCAACTCCAAACACTTGATATAGCTGTGCCTCTCTGAGGTACCAGGCTGAGAGCCGCAGGTTACAAATGGGGAAAGAGCACCAGCACCATCCAGGAAACTCTTTGAAGGCAGGAGCCCACCTGCCTGCTCTGTGTGATCCCAGGTGCTGCGTGGTATCACCCAGAATAGTTCCCAGTGAATTCTTGTTAGAACCAAGAATAAACAGACACATGGCAGAACCAGAAGGCTTGCAGAGAGCAAGTTGAAAGTCCTTACCCAGAGGTCGCTAGATGGGAACTGAGGCCTAGACAGAAGAAACCAGTTTAATGGTTCAGTGTAACTGTGAGACAGACCTCTCTTCTTACCCCATCCCAGGATCCCCAGGCACTCGGCTTCTTCTGGGGTCTTCTAGACAAGACCTGCAGGGTGAGCAGCTGGGGGAGGGGCTGGCTATGGGGAAAGTACCTGCTTTCCACCAGGGATAACTCCTCCCTGGAGGCCAGCCCGAACGCAGCCTAGCTAGGAGCCATTTCAATCCCCACCAAGAGGGCAGGGCAGGGCAGGGTAGGGCAGGGAGTGTTTCCTGGGACTGGAAGTAGAAAGAGGCAGCCTAGAGGTCTTGGCCATTTCTTTCAGGCCAGCCTCAAAGTCAGAGATCAGAAAAGGCCTCTACTAGGATTCCTAGACAAGAGGCTCTCAGCAAGTGTCCCCACCTCTGGGCTTGGATGTCTCCCCCTATACCCCTATGTTTGGGGTAGTCCTTGGGAAGTCCTGGCCTACCCCTAAAGCTTAGCTCCTCCTGCCCCAGATTGCATTTAGGCCAAGCACCCTGTCTGCCCAGCCAGAAAACTGAGAAGCCCCTGACCCCATGCCCACCCCTGCTGCTCTGGAGTGGGGGGCTGACCCAGTGCCAGCTCGGGGCTGGTGCCTCTAACTGGTGACTCCTTTGCAACTTCCCAGTTTGGCTGAGTTGTGAGTCACTGCCCCTCACTGCCCCCAGCCTCAGGCTTCTGATCCAGACCTTATTCCTCCCAGCTTCCCCAGCATCTCCCTTGGCCTCCTCCCTGCCTGAAGCTAAACCTCTCCAACTTTCCTCAGAGTCTTCCAAGCAGGTAGAGACAGGATTCCCAAGCCCCTCCCCAAACACCACTGGGTCCATCCCACTCTCCCAAAAGCAGGAAGTAGGCAGCTGCAGCAGTCACACGAGGTGTTGATCAACACGGGTGCTGCTGACGCGGTTGTTGACATCCACGTCCGGAGGTGAACCCCACCCACTTGGCCCAGGATCGGAGGGTCAGGAGGTGAGGGCACCTTCCCACAGGTGCTCTCAGCAGGACTCCGGACCCCCTACCAGCCTTGCCCGCCTGGCTAGCTGCAAGGCCCCAACTCTGCCACTGCCCTGGCCTGGTCCTATCAGAGCCCCCAAATCCCTCCACTTCCTCTTCACCTTCTCCTTAGCCCCTGAGGACCACACTTCTCAACTCAGGCCCCAAACTCGATGTGCTTGTTCTGGCATTCTCCACACAAGTGACACCCCCTCCTCAGCCTCGGTTTCTCCTACCGTGAAGCGGAGGCAAGGACCCCCTTCCCACCCAGCTCTGGCTCTGAAGCCAATCAGTCGCCTGGAAAGGGCCTGACTCCCACGGCCTCTCCACACCCTGCGCCTGGTCTCCCCAGCCCGACCCTTGGGCCAGGATCCTCAGGTCTCTGCGCGCCACACGGCCCCCTCCCCGATCTCAGGCCTGGTTCCTCACCCAGATCTCCAGGTGGATATCCCGCAGGGCAACGCTGCCCTTGTACAAATCGAGGCTGAGCTGGTCCAGGCTGAGGTGCTCCTGGAAGAAGTGCCCCAAGTAATGGTGCAGCAAGTAGCGGCATACCCGCTCTTTGACACAATTCGACCATGGCCACAGCCATCGTGACATCTCGGAGACCGCCGGGCCCAGACCGCCTCCGCTCGCCGCCCGCCGGCGATCCCCGTCCGGCTACGCTGTTCAACAGAGCCCCCGGCTGTCCCCGCCGCTTCTCTCAGCGCCAGGCCGCGCCCCCGGACCCTCAGCCACGCCCCCCACGCTCACTGCCATTCGCCATTGTAAAGGGCGAGGCCTACTGATTGGCCGCGGGGGGCGGAGTCTTCGAGCATGAAAAAGGGACTGGGCTCGGTGCATGATATAGTGCTCCTAAGGTTGATTTACGCCTGCGTAAAAATTCTGTGTGGGAGGACCTTTAGCCTCCCAGCGGAGGGGCTCTGGGAAGGCTGGGACTGGAGGTGCCAGCCCCGCAGAGGAACGCGCAGGTGCGGGCGCGTCCGACTGCTTGAGGTGGTTGGGGAGATTTAAAGGGACAGTGTCCCATCAAACTTAATAGGAAGCTTCCCAGAGGGAGAGAGAGTCCGAGAGCTCCGGCGCGTCGTAGAAACAATTAAGTGAGTACGCATTTGCATTTTGCGAAACACTTTACCATCTTTTATCTCATTCAATTCTCATAACCCTCTAAGGTGGCGATTTTACAATTAAGAAAAACATCTTACAAGTAAGAAAACAAATTTATAAATGTTGCTGTAAGTCCATCACCAGGGAAGTCTTTTTTTCACCACCCCTCACCTGGAAGTGCTGATCAGGAGATTTACCACCCCACCCCACCCCACCCTTTCTCTCTGCATTTGGTCAGCCCTCCAGCTTCTCTCTGGAAAAAAAAAAAAAAAAAGTTTTTCTTATCTCTAACCTAAAATTAATAACGAATGGATTCCAAATCCCTTATGCAGGGGTCTGTTATTTTTGTACAACTTTTTTTTTTTTTACATTTTTAAGTAGTTTTTTAAAAAAATCAAAAGAATAAGACTTCCTGACACATGAAAATGTTATGAAATTCACATGTGAGTATCCATAAAGTTTTGGTGGAACACAGCCACACTCAATTGAGTACTGTCTTGGGCTGCTTTCTTGTTACAGTAGCAGAATTGAGCACTTGGCAGGGGAAGAGAGAGACTGCAAAGCTTCAAATAATTATTTTCTGGCTATTTACAGAAAGTTTGCCAACTCCTGCTCAACAGGGTTGGTCACCCAAGCCCTCTGCATCATGGGTGACTTAAAGGATACCCACAGGTAATTATAATCCTACTTTAGCTTTACTAGGGAGGTGGCCTCTACTGCAATCTACTGCCAAAAGTCAGTCTGAAGCAAGGGCAACCATCCTGGCCTGAGGGGCAGGAACCTGGATTCCAGTCTTCTGTGGCCTCAGGCAAGTCACGGTTCCTCTGGGAGCCATCCCCTGTAACCTAGGGTTGGGTTAGTAGGTTGTACACTTCTTTACTGGGAGGGCGCTAAGGAACAGCCTCAAAGAATTTCGTGAAGCACTGGGAAATAAGTTTCCCTAAAAGGAGGCAGGCTAATAGGAAAATGCCCATGGAATGAACTGAGAGATCAGCTTCTCCCCATGACAGGCCAGGGGCAGTGTTGTGTTCATCACATGTTTATTAAAGTGATAGACACCATGAATTGAGCCTGTGTGATGTCCTGGGCCATAGGCTTGTCACTTTATAGGCATTACTTCATCTGCTCCTCACCACACCTTTGGAGGGAGGTACTACTAACATCCCCATTTTACAGGACAGGAAAACTGAGGCTGTGTGTCCAAGAGCTTGTTGTGAACGAACAAGCATCACTTCTCCCAAAGGCATTAGTATTCTGGAGTCTAGGAAAAGTTGTCCTGATGTCCAGACTAAGACACAGTCATTCCCCTGCTGTGAAAACAGGGTGCATTATGTATAAAAGTTGGGAACACAGAGCCATTCCCAATATCCAGGCCCCAATCTGGGGTAGCTGCTTCTTGGATCAGCTTCCCTCCAGTGAGGCTGTACTCATATCTGTGACATACCACTGTGTCTGCATCACAGTAGAGGAATAAATAGGACTCAGGGGAGCACAAAAGTCTTCTCACTGCGTCCCTCAGTGCACCATGAGATCCACCAAAGACCAATTCCAAAGACATAGTCACTCCACAACCTGGCCCGGGGCCTTGGAGCAGGAGCTGAATGGAAGAATAAAAATACAGAGGAAAGAAGACGGTATACTCTTGGGAGGGAAGGTGGTGTGGGGGTCCCACAGGGGTATTTCTGGTATGAAGGCTCAGGCTATGGTTCCATTCCAAAGAGAGAAAAGGGGGAGGGTCAGGCTTTGTGGGGCTCCTTGGGGGCCTCTCCTTATTATATTAGGTAGAAACTCATCAGGCAAACCAGGTACTGTAGGCCTCAAGGGTCCTGAGGGGGCAGGGGCTGTCCCTTTCCCAGAGACAGCCCTCCCAGAAGCTCCTCTGGGAATTCCTTCAGTGGCATCTGGATAGGTGTGGAAGGGATCATGGAAGATAGCCTGGGGGCTGTGGTTTTTTACTTGGTCCATGGTGGAGGGCCTGGGTTTTGCATTTTGTCTAAATTGTGGCAAAATACAAATAACAAATTTTACCATCTTATGCATTTCTTTTTTTTTTTAAAGAGTTTATTTATTCATGAGGGACACACACAGAGAGAGAGAGAGAGAGAGAGAGAGAGAGAGAGAGGCAGAGACACAGGCAGAGGGAGAAGCAGGCTCCATGCAGGCAGCCTGATGCGGGACTCGATCCAAGGACTCCAGGATCACGCCCTGGGTTGAAGGCAGGCGCTAAACCACTGAGCCACCCGGGCCTCCCTTTTTTTTTTTTTTTAAAGAGCATTTCTTTTTTTTTTTTTTAAGATTTTATTTATTTATTCGTGAGAGACACAGAGAGAGAGAGAGAGAGAGGCAGAGACACAGGCAGAGGGAGAAGCAGGCTCCTGCATGGAATATGGAAGCCTGACGTGGGACTTGATCCCAGGTCTCCAGGATTATACCCTGGGCTGAAGGCGGTGCTAAACCGCTGAGCCACCCAGGCTGCCCATCTTAAGCATTTCTAAGTGTACAGTTCAGTAGTGTTAAGGATATTCACATTGTTGGGCAACCAATTTCGAGAATTTTTTCTTTCATCTTGCAAAACCAAAACTCTGTAATCATCAAACAACAATGCCAGAATGGGTGAACTGTATAGTAAGTGAATGACATCTCAATAATGATGATTTTAAAAAAGAATTTTTACCCTGTACCCCCCAGGTGACATTGTATCTATTTTGAGACCCAGTTCCAATAACACTTATAGGAAGTTTTATGTCTTCCACCATTCAGGCCCCCAAATCCTCAAACAGAACACACCCTTTCTGTAAAACAGGAACTCGCCACAGTCATTCTGGCCTGGAGACCCTCAGACTCAGAGTTAAGGGCACTAGCCCCTAGGGAGTGTAGGGTAGAGGTGGGAGCTGGTGTCCTCCTAACTTAGGCTGGAGGGCCTATGGCCCCAGCTTTGGGACTGTGGGCAAAGCACTTCTCTTCTCTGGGCCTGGGGGTCCTCACCTTGGGTGTAGAAGGCTCTGTGGGCCTGCTTTACCCCAGCTTTTTCTGCAGGGATGCAGGATGGGCTTCACTTTCTGAGCCTGGGATGTAGGCAAGGAGAAAATTATGGGTTTTCCTTTGACAGATGAGGACATCAAGGGTCAGGTGGACAAGGCATGTTGAAGATTTCTGAGCAGGGAGGCTGCTGGCCAGCTCTTTAATCGTATAGCCCTGTACACCAGCCTGGCTAAACTATGGTCTTTGCTTTCTGTTGCTACAGCAGGTGGGCATCACTGAGGCACCCAGGTTCCCTCTGTAGCGGGGAAGATAGCTGAGTGGTCACGAAGGTGTAAGGCAGAGTGAGAAGATTCTGAAAATGGCCCTAGACCCCTCCCTGACCTCAATGTCGTGGGTGGAGATTTCACAGTGTAGTGTGGGGGATGGAGTTAAGAGAAATAACCGTTGTTGAGGTCTAGGGTCCTATAAAGGAGACCCACGACTTGAGGCCAGGAACTTTTTGTCCAGAATGCCAAACTCCTGGAATTCCACCTGTACCTTGGATACCCTGCAGTAAGGTTTTGAACAAGAAACCCCACTATCACATCTGAGGGCCCAGAGGGGCTAAAGGAGGTCCAGAGAGGCCAGCTTGCCTGGGGTGGAATGGCAGCACCACCAGGGAGCACCTCCTGCTCTGATGCTTTGCCATTCCAAGGCTGGCTCTTTAAACCCCAGACCATGATGTCACCATAGACAGCGAAGGATGGGAGGGGGACTGCAGGCCGGAGGGCGGACTGCATTTCCCAGCAGTCTTGGGTGCACCACACCTCTCCCAGCAGACACTGGCTCACTGCAGACTATTAACTAATTCCGCGCCAGTGTCCAAATGGGTTCTGAAGTGTCCACAGTTCTGGGGTAAGGGTGGGATTCCCCTGCGGGTGGAATGTCTGGGGCACAGATGAAGCCGACCACATCTTTGGCCTGGTATAGGATTGAGCTTCTTTCCTGCCAGGGTCCTGGCATCACCCCCATCTTCCTGGTGCAGAGTCCTGAGTCCTCTCTTCCAAGCCGTCTCCCTTCTAGAACGCGGGGGCCTAGCCCCAGTGGACCCCATCCCACTCTGCTTAAGCTTTGACCCCAGGCCCCTGCAGGGGTTACCTCGTTGGTCTGACAGCCCCCTTTAAGCGGCGAAGGAACTACATCTCCCAGCGGCCCCAGGAACTTCCTGACGCAGCGCCTCCGCCCCCCCAGCCCTCGGGGAGGTGCGGGCCGGGGGGGGGGGGGGCGGGGGGAGGTGACTTGATGTCATCCTGAGCTGCTGGGCGGCGGGTGCCGGTGCGCACAGAGCCGGAGCTCCCGCGGCGCCGCGCCGCGCTCGGTCTGGCCCCAAGACTTGAGAGGTCCGCACGCTGCCCGGGCAGCCTAGAGCGCCCCGGACACCCGCACCCCGACCTGGGACTGACCTGGGGGCATGCTCCGGGGCCCGCGGAGCCGGAGAGAGAACCCAGGAGCGCCGCCACCCAGCGCCAGCGCCCGGAGCGGAACCGCTGCGAAAGAGCCCTGAACAGCCAGCCGCCCCTTCCCCACCCGCAGCCCCCGGTGGTTGGGGACGGAAGTCTGGGCTTCTGAGAAGTGAGTGTCCCCCCCCACCGGGAGGCAGATAAGATTTGGGGAGCCAAGAAGGAGGAGCTGAGGTGGGGGGAGGTTGCTAGATTTTAGGAGGGAGGGGTGCTTGGAGATAGAGCCCCCCATTCTTGGGGAAGTCGCTGTTAGCTTGGATTAGTGGAGCCGAAGGGGGCCGTTCTGTTAGGGGCCAGGGATGAGGACGAGGTTCCCCATTCTAGGTAGGGGCTGGTTTGGGGAATAGGCCCCATTCCAAGAGGGATTGTTTTGGAACCTGGGGCTTTTCAGTCTGGGAGAAGGGTGGAACATGCTTCTGTGGGAAGGGGCTGTGCCTGTATTTAGTGTCTGGGTGCAGGTAGGAGGAAAAAGAAGACTTAAGCGCTCAGACTTGAGCAGCCCTACACAGTCTCTCCTGGAAGAACTGATAGGCTCTCTCTGTTTCTTTTGCTGGTCTCTCTCCCTGACTTCATTTTCAAAAGGTCCAGGGTGAGAACCCTAACTGGACTCTTCGGGACCCCCAGGAAGGACCTGAGACCTGAGCCATCCTTCTCTCTACTCTGCCTGCCCCCCAGGCCTGGGCAGTTGCCAAAGGCCCTGGGGGGGGGGGCGGACTGTGGTTGTGTGCACTCCCCCTCCAGGATGGGCCCAAGTTAGTCAGCTTCACCTCATTTGGCATCCTCCAGGCCCAGAGGGAACCCCTGGGGCTCTGAAGGCTTGACCCACCACCTGGCCACCATGGAGACAAAACTGCCCCCTGCAAGCACCCCCACCAGCCCTTCTTCCCCAGGGCTATCGCCTGTGCCCCCACCCGACAAGGTGGATGGCTTCTCCCGCCGTTCCCTTCGCAGAGCCCGGCCCCGGCGCTCCCATAGCTCCTCTCAGTTCCGTTATCAGAGCAACCAGCAAGAGCTCACTCCACTGCCCCTGCTCAAAGGTGAGCCCTGCTGCTGGCTACCAGGGTACCTGTGTCCCAGGGAAGGCAAGCAAAGCTGCAGTGAGTGGTGACCAGCAGCTGGCAGTTGCAATTAGAAGGTTTAGATGGCCCCTTCCAGATGAGGGACTCTGGCACTGGAGATGACCCCCACCCCCAGCCCTCCAGCCCTCTCTGCTGACGCATGGCCTGACTGGCCTGTCATCCTTGGAGGTGGGGCATGTGGAAGTGGCGCCACCCTGGGGGGCAGACTAGGGCCAAGGGTGGGGCTCACAGCCTGGGTTCCAGGAGGCCACTGCCTGGGTCCTGGAGCAGGTACTCAGCATGGCTCCCTGTGGATCGCTATGTAGTCTCCCCATCTCTGAGCCACAGGGCCCCCAACCGGCTGAGTCAAAGAGCACCTAAGCGATCCTCAGCCCCCAACCTCCTTCCCATTTCTGGCTCTTAGAATAGCGTGCCAGCTCTGAGAGGGAGGCACGGCTGTTTCAGGCACCTGTGGAAAGCCCGGGCATCTGGGGTCTCTTACCTTGCTTTCAATCAGGCCATCATGCTCTCTGAGCCTGGGTTAGGAAGAAGAGACGCAGCTCCTTTACCCTGCAGGAATGGAAGATTTGGTCTCTGCAGAGAGTGGGGGATGACACAAGGGCAGTGGGCCTGGGGGCAGGGGAGGCTGCTCTATGGATTAGGAGGGTACGCCCATGCCCAGAGCTCTGGCACCAGGGCACAGGCTCAGCCCCCTTCCCTCTCCCCAGATGTGCCAGCCTCTGAGCTGCATGAGCTGTTGAGCCGGAAGCTGGCCCAATGTGGGGTGATGTTTGACTTTTTGGACTGTGTGGCTGACCTGAAGGGGAAGGAGGTGAAGCGGGCAGCACTCAATGAGCTGGTGGAGTGTGTGGGGAGCACCCGGGGAGTCCTCATTGAGCCTGTCTACCCAGACATCATTCGCATGGTAAGCACCTGGCCCCTGACCTCTGGGGGAGGATTGGGGGACATGGAACCCCACTGAACTGCTCAGGGCTCCCTTCTTCCGTGAAGACTAACCCCACACTCTTTGGCTTAGCCTCAAGGCCTGCATCTTTCTTCCTCCTGCCCCCAGCCCCACTGCATCTGGCCCAAGTAGGCACCTCCATGCCTGCTGGGCCTGTCCCACCCTGCACTTTGGTTTATGCTCTCCCAAGGCCTGGCGTGCACTACCCCACATCCCTTAGTTCAATGGTCTGGCTCAGGTGCTGCCACTTCCATGAAGTTTCTCTGTGCTCAAGCTAGAACTCTCCTTTTTGCTGACTAGAATGTCGATAGACCTTACCACTTAACATCTTGTCTTCCCTGCTGGACTGTGCCCAGTAGAGGGCAAGGATGTATCCTGTTTACTCCTGGGTCCCCAGCCCCCAGCCCAGGGCTTCCATGTGTTCAGGTAGTGATTGTTGACGAGTGAATTGCTTGCTAGGGCAGGTGCTGAGGCTCATTAGAACTTTGGATAAGGGACCTCCTGGCTTCTGCCTTTGAGGACTCTTCCTAAACGAGCCCTGCTCCTGCTCTTCAGATCTCAGTGAATATCTTCCGGACCCTACCACCCAGTGAGAACCCTGAATTTGATCCTGAAGAGGATGAACCCAACCTTGAGCCTTCCTGGCCACATCTGCAGGTATGGGGACTGGGGAAGGCAGGGAGCTGGATTTCAGGAGATGGGAGAGAGTCTCTAGACTGGAGGAGGGGGGCAGTAGGGCAAGGGGAAGAAGGAGGCTGTTCTTGAACTCACCTTTTTGTCTGTCCCCACTCCCAGCTGGTATATGAGTTTTTCCTGCGTTTCTTGGAAAGTCCAGATTTCCAACCCTCCGTGGCCAAGAGATATGTGGATCAAAAGTTTGTCCTGATGGTGAAGTGGGGAGCCCAGGCTGGGGGGTGCCATGGGACAGGGGCAAGCTCTCTGAGGGGTGTTGGGCTAGGATGGAAGTGACCTGGGCTTGGCCTCTCTCCCCTGACCTCCTGACCCTGGGTCCCCTAGCTCCTGGAGCTATTTGATAGTGAGGACCCCCGGGAGCGTGAGTACCTCAAGACCATCCTGCACCGGGTCTATGGCAAGTTCCTGGGGCTCCGGGCCTACATCCGCAAACAGTGCAGCCACATCTTTCTCCGGTGGGTGCCTGCTGCCTGCCCAGCTGAGTTCTGGGGAGGGAGGGGAGAGCTGGAGGGGAGAAGATGGAGCCAGAGGCTCCCATGAGGTCAGCAGGGGAAGGGTATTTATTTCCATTTTCTAGATGAGGAAATATAGACTGAGGGTGATGAACTGGTTTTCAGAGACTAACTAGGTCAGTCCTGGGGGCCTGGGATCAAATCTTCTGACCCTTGATGTGCCAGGCCGTAAAAACCCAAAGAAAGAGATTCTTCCTGCAGGTGTGTATTGAGCAGCAGTGCCCCATGGGCATAGGGGCTCATATGGCCTTACAGTTGAGATTGGCTTTGGAGCTCACTGGCCTTTTTGAGTTTGGTTCAAATGTTTAGGGGAATGTGGGCAAATTTTCTCTCATCTCTAGAATGGGAATGATAGCTGTATTCACCCAGGGACAGTCATCAGGGTGAAATGAGACAGTGCCTCCAAAGTATACAGTATGTAGCTTCTTGACCAAGGCTGGGACTCCGAAACATTAGCTCTTGTGGTTGTTAGCTACAAAATAGGTGACACATGATCCCTGTCCTCCAGGATCTCAGAGTCCATTAAATCCTCTGCTTATTAACTTTGGGGCGGGTGTCATTGAACTGTTGAGCCTTGATTTCTTCATCTGTATAATGGATCTAATAAGCCATATCTTTCAGGATAATTTTCGGAAGTTCGTAATGCAGAATAGATACTATGTTTGTCATTCTTTTGGTTGAGAGGCATAAAAAAAGGTTGCGGGCTAGGTGTCTGCTGACTGGATGGGGGCCAGAAAATGAGAGTTAGGGTCTAGGGGAGAAAGAGGTTGGAATGCCTCATAGAAGAGAGGTTTGAGCACCAGTGCCTAGGCTGAGGAGGGTGATTCAGAGGTGGGTGTGGATCTCAGTGGGGCCTGGCTTGGGAAGGGAGCTCAGTCTCTGGGTGGGGAGAGAGTTGGATTACTGTGCAGGGTGGGGTGGCAGGCAGGATGGCTGAGAGGAGCCTGGGCCTGCTATCATTGTTCTGAGCCTTTCCACATCCTCCTGTTCCTCTCACAGATTCATCTATGAATTTGAACACTTCAATGGTGTGGCTGAACTGCTGGAGATCTTAGGAAGGTGACTGTCTCTGGGCCTCTGCTGGAGCATCAAGATTCTGGGAGAAAAGACTGAGGCCCAGTCATCTGAGCCCTCCTCCTCTTTTCTGTCCCCTTCTCAGCATCATCAATGGCTTTGCACTGCCCCTGAAGACTGAGCACAAGCAGTTCCTGGTCCGGGTCCTGATTCCCCTACACTCTGTCAAGTCACTGTCTGTTTTTCATGCCCAGGTAAGGCCCAGGCCTGGCCCTGCCACAGCAAAGAGATCCTGAGAGAGTTAGGGCATCCATTCAGTCAGTCCAACACTCTGCTCCAAGCCACACTAAGTCATGAATTCATAGGATCCTCCCTCACCTTCTTTTTCTTTGCTAATTCTGTTCCATAAACATCATCTACATTAGAGAATTTCCATGATGTTTTAAGGCTGATCTTGGACATCAGCTTTGTGAAGCCTTCCCAGCCTTTTCCCTCCTGACCTGCCCTAGGCAAGATTAAACTCTTCTCTTTCCATATTCCCACAGATTGTGATGTAGATTTCAATTATGGAAACTTCTGTAAAATTTACAAGGTCTAGTTTGCTGAATATTCCCCTTGGGAGAACATGGTTGTGTCCCTGCACACAGAGCATGTGCCTGGTACATCCTAGGTAGTCAGTCAGTAAATGTTCAGTGAATGAGAGAGGAGACACAGTAAGTGAGCAAACATCTGTCCTGTCAAGGTCCCCTCCTGACCTTGGTTTTCCTCTCCCCCTACCCCCACCCCCCCTCAGCTGGCATACTGTGTGGTGCAGTTCCTGGAGAAGGATGCCACCTTGACAGAGCATGTGAGTACCTCTGGGGGGAAAGGCAGGCCCCACCCCTTCAGGTCTGACTCTTTTCTACTTCATCTCCCACAGGTGATCCGAGGGCTGCTCAAATACTGGCCAAAAACCTGTACCCAGAAAGAGGTATGAGGAAAGGCTCTGATGTCCTCCAGAGGGGGGGTCAGGAGGGCTCCGTTTCTGGAGAGGAGTCAAATGTGTGTGTGTGGGGGAAATGGGAACAGCTGTTTCCTGTGTCCCTACCCCCAGGTGATGTTTCTGGGGGAGATGGAAGAGATTCTTGATGTCATTGAGCCCTCCCAGTTTGTGAAGATCCAGGAGCCCCTCTTTAAGCAGGTGGCCCGCTGTGTTTCCAGCCCCCATTTCCAGGTATGGGGTGGGAAGAAGGAAGGGTGGGAGCTGGGGTATGGACTAGGAGGGCTGGCCAGTCCACCTAACGCAGCTCTCTTCACCTTCAGTTTCTCCTCTGGACCCACCAGGGTCTGATGGGGGAGATGCTGGATTTAAGATCAGGAGACCTAGGGTCAGGCCTCAGACATGCTCCCCATGGGCTGAGGGGCCCTGGGCAATCACTTTGCCACTTCAATCTGATAGAAGCTTCCTTGTCTGTAAAGTGGACCACAGTGACCTCTTCACAAGGTGGTGATGAGTGTAGTGCCAGCCTGTTTGGTAAACTGAGGTGTGCTCCAGAGGAGCTGTTAACTCTGCTCCCCTCTTCTTAGTGGCTTTTGATTTCATTAGTCCCCCTCCAGTGCCCAGCCTTTGGTTCCACTTCCTCAGGCTGGCTGTAATTGCTATATTCCTATACATGTGTGCAGACTTTTGCCCATTCTTATGGGCCTTAATGTGGTGGAAGTCAGGTCTTCCTCATGGTGACTCTGGCATTTACATTTATTAAACACTTTGTTTGATTCTTACAATAGCCCTAGGGAGATAGCTACTATTAGCCCATTTTATAGCTGAGAACACTGAGGCTGGGAAGTTAAAATGCCTCACCCTAGGTCATATGTCCAGTGTGTAGTGGAACTAGGATTCAACCCTGAGCATTGGACTCCAAATCCAGCTCTTTTCTCTTCACTACATTGCCTCCTATGGTGGGTCAGATGAGCCCTGAGGATTGGGGGCAGGGCACCCTGGGTTTAGGGGTGGGGGTGGATACCAGGCCTTGCACATTCAGGGAAGCCCCTACGAGGCACTCCCTTTGCCATCTTGCTGCCTCAGGTTGCAGAGCGGGCTCTGTATTTCTGGAACAATGAGTATATCCTGAGCCTCATCGAGGACAACTGCCACACTGTGCTGCCTGCTGTGTTTGGGACCCTCTACCAAGTCTCTAAGGAGCACTGGAATCAGTGAGTGCCTAGGCCTTGGCCTAACCCACAGAAGCTGGGTCCAGGGCCAGGCAGTTCAGACCTGGGAGGATCAGGGAGGGGAAAGGAGCAGGGAGAGAGCAGTGCCTGTGGTGTTCAGAGCTGCATGTGTTTTTGGGGAACAGGGGTAGGCAGAGTGCAAGGGAGGGAGGCAGCGCCAAACTGAAGTGGTTCCCATTTCCTCACCCTTCCCTGGACCTTGCCAAGAACCATCGTGTCTCTGATCTACAATGTGCTCAAGACGTTCATGGAGATGAATGGAAAGCTGTTTGATGAGCTCACAGCCTCCTACAAGCTTGAAAAGCAGCAGTGAGTGTTGGGCTGGGCATGGGGGGAGAGGGGAAAAGGCAGGGAGGAGCTGGCTCCTTGGGGTTGGAAGGAGCCTAGGAGGATGGCCCATGTCCTGTGTGATCAGAAGTTTAGTCTCTCCCTGTGTTCCTGTTGGGCCATCCATGCCCGGCTCCCCACTGCACCCTCCAGTCATGCTCCCAAGTCTTCTTACAGGTATGGAACTTCCTCCCCCTCAGCTTCATGACTGCGGTCAGGGGACAGTTTCCCTGTGCTCTCTTTCCTAAGTGGAGGATCCCATAGAGTCCATTTTTTATTTTATTTTATTTTATTTTATTTTATTTTATTTTATTTTATTTATTTTATTTTATTATTTATTTTATTTTATTTATTTTATTTATTTTATTTTATTTTATTTTATTTTATTTTATTTATTTTATTTTATTTTTTTAAAGGATTTTATTTATTCATGAGAGACAGAGAGAGAGAGAGAGAGAGAGAGAGAGAGAGAGAGGCAGAGGCACAGGCAGAGGGAGAAACAGGCTCCATGCAGGGAGCCTGATGTGGGACTCGATCCAGGTCTCCAAGATCACACCCCGGGCTGAAGGCGGTGCTAAACCACTGGGCCACCAGGGCTGCCCTAAAGTCCGTTTATACTTGGGTGGTGGTGAGGGAGGCTGGACTGTGGGTGGGCCCGGGCAGGGGAACTGCCTCACTCTCTCTCCCCAGGGAGCAGCAGAAGGCCCGGGAGCGTCAGGAACTATGGCAAGGCCTGGAGGAGCTACGGCTACGCCGGTTACAGGGGACCCAAGGGGCCAAAGAGGCACCCCTCCAACGGCTTACACCCCAGGTGGCCACCAGTGGGGGTCAGAGCTAGAGATCCCCTAGAAGGGGAGGAGCTAAATCCAGAGCTATCAGCTCCTCCATCCCCTCTCCTACCCAGGGGCCCAGAGAGACACACACCTACCCCTGGCCTTGCCAGAGTGGGCTTGGAGGGCACCCTGTTTGGCCCACTGTGGGCAGCTTTCACTGTGGGGAGAGGAGGAGAGGAGATGGTGGTCCTGGCAACAGAACTCTCAGGCCTATGTGGCAGGACTTGACCAGGGCAGGCTTGACCAGGAAGCTGCCACTGGGTACTGTACCTGCCCTGAAAAGCTGGACTCCAGACTGCAGGCAGGTTCCCACCATGCTCCTGCCTAGAACAAGGGGACTCAGCCCTTTGCCTGCCCCGCCTCGTGCCAGCATGAGGTCCTTCCTCACCCTACCATGGGATCCATGGTCTATTTATTCTCCCCAGCTCACCCCCAACACAGACACTGTCCTGGGCCTGGGGCATCCTCTTTCCCTCCTCTCCCTCACCCTGTACTTCCTTGTCCCCTTTTTATTTATTGGGCAGGGGGAGGGGTGAGGGCACAGGCAGAAGAGATTCCCCGTGTCCTGGGGTGGGGGGGTGTCACAGTTACCATGGTCTTTCCCCCTTCCCCTGGCTGGGGGTAGACTTAATAAAGAGAGAAACTTGAGAACTGCTTGCTTTATTCAGGGGTAGGTACAAAGAGGGGAGTGAAATGATGACAGTCTGGTTAGGAGGCCAGGCAGAGGTAGGAGAGAGGCAGAAACTGGGGACAATCACAGAATCTTAAGGAAGCTGGAATTGTCCTGAATGAGGCTTGGGATATACAAGATATACTCCAACTCAAACCCTCTGACCAAGGCAAAGGAGGAAGGGAAGGGATGAGCTAGTAGCGCGAAAGGCGACACATGTCACACTGGCAGGCCCTGGCTGTGAAGATCTCCAGCTCCTCCTTCTGGTCCCCCCCACACTGCAGCTGCACCTTCACCTGTGGGAGAAAAGTATCCGTGTTTCACTCACCTTCCTTGGGCCATCTTAGGTTCCCATTTCTTCTGTCTCCCCACCGCCAAAGAGCCACTGCTGGGCTGGACCCTCTCACCTTCTTCAGGCCACTGATGGTACAGCACTGAGAGACGGAGGTCATGTTATGTCGATATCCACTGGCCACCAGCACAGAGTACCGGGAAGGGAAGGCACTAGACTCACAGTGGCCCACACAGGCCTGTGCCACATGGGAGCCCTGGCAGGTGCCTTGGCGATCACTTCGCACTGTCACATTGAAGGCTAAAAGGAGACAGGCGAGTGGGAGACAGTGCCTCTGCGAAGCCTCACCTAGTTCTGTCACTGGAATCTCAGTGTAGGTCCATTGAGGGTGCTGCCTGCCCTTCTGGACCTGTCCATTAGCTCTCTGCTCCCACCCAGCTGTCTGCTCTCAGGGTTACTCACGGTGCAAGTGGCAGCCTGGGATGGCCGCCTGCCGACCCCAACCTTCAGTGACCGCCAGGACCAGCAGGCAGAGGAACAGCGTTTGGGGAGATGCCATGGGTATCTGAAACAGTGGGTGGATACCTATCTCTAGATAAGTGTGCAGGTGGGAGGGGGAGTTCCTTACTGTGTGCCTCCAGGTGAATGAGCCAGGGTTAGGCTTATCTTTTTTTTTTTTTTTTTAAGATTTTATTTATTCATTTATGAGAGACACAGAGAGGCAGAGACAGAGACACAGGCAGAGGGAGAAGGAGGCTCCCTGCAGGGAGCCGGATGTAGGACTCGATCCCAGGACCTTGGGATCACGACCCAAGCCAAAGGCAAACACTCAACCGCTGAGCCACCCAGGTGCCCCTAGGCTGGTCTTTCGGGCTGGGGTGAGGCAAGCCTGTGAGTGGGGATGTCTTTTCCCTGTGTCTGCCTTTGGGTGCATGTTGTGTTTGCCTGTGTATCTCTCATGATGGGTGTGAGTGTGAGCAGCTGTCAGCCCACTGCAGTGATTCTTCCCTGGAATTTCTTCTACTATCTGAAGCACAAACATCTGCCTCCATCTCCCCCATTTGCAGGCCCCAGGGCCTCCCAGAGCTTCTCCCTCCTCAGGGGGCTTACCACTTCCAAGGCCCAGGAACTGAATGGTTTGCTGAATGGGTTCCTCAGGTCTTCTGCTGGTCTCCAGACAGTGCTGGCTCTCTGGATTTTTATTTGCCAGCATTCTGGAGCCACGCCCTCTTGGAGATCAGCTTACAGGCCTGCCTCCCTGCCAGAGGCCTCAGAGCAATCCCACCTGGGAGATCCAGCTCTTCTCTGAGGTGTGGTCCTCAGAGGCTTCTGCTTTCTGCTGCCTGAGGTCCAGGGTTGGAGGAAGTGAGATGTGGAAAAAAAAAACTAGGAGCTGGTGCAGCAGGTAGCATATGTGTGACTGGGGAAAGAGACTGCCCCAGTTGGGCTGCGTTTTGGCCACCAGGGCTCTTTCCTTCTTTGCTGTGTGGCCTTGGGCCAAGACACTCCCCTGTTCAGGGCCTTGCTACCCCAACCTTGAAGCTACTAAACTCATTCCTGCTTGTCCCTTATCCACTATATAGGAAAAGTGTGGGGAGGATATTTTTTTAGACAAGGGAAATGACACTAGTAAGAGCCTCCTGAGATAAGCTTAGTGGCGGAGTTGGGGAGAATGGAGGGTTCTAAGTCCATTTCAGAGCTTCATTTTCACTGTTAGGCAGATGACTCATCCTGGGTGGGGGTCAGGCACAAAGTGGGGCTCCTCCTAGTCCCTGGAATAACAGGGACCTGACTCCTAGAACTGTCTGAAGCTGTCAACCCCAGCAAATCCCATTATTTCATCTAGCTCTGGCTCTGGTTTTACAGGTAAAGCATCTAAGGCTTAGAGAAGGAAAGCTACTAAAGGTAACAGAGTTAATGTCAGGCCAAATCTGTTCTCCATACATGGTGCTAAATTACACTTGGGGCAAGAATGTGGCAAGTTGGAAAAGATTCCCCTTGTCAGTACTAGCTGCATGGGCTAGGGCAGGCCAGAGATCAGATCAGAAAGAACTCTATGGTAGTTGCCACCCCCCCCCCCCATACACACACCAGGGCCACTGCCTCACTGATTTGCTCAGAGAGGCAGAGCCCGCCACATACACCACTATAGCTTGAAGGTGCCTAAGAGCTCATTGAATCCTACCCCTTCATTTTTGAGAAGAGAAAATCAGAACCAGAGAGGAAAGTGACTTTGTCAAGGCTTCACTGTAAGCTAGTCAGAGTCAAAATGGCATGCAGATCTCTAGATTCTGGAGTTGAACCTTTCAGTGGCTTTGTAAAGCAGGCCTTGTTCGGGACAGTAGGACAAAGGCAATGAACCCAACTTGTCCTTATTCCTCCAGTTCCCCTTCAGCCCAATTCCTCTCAGGACCTGGGCCTGTCTACAGCAGCCACATCTCCCTATTCAGGGTAAGGCAACCAAAACAAGGGGACTCCAAGGACCTCAACATCCCAGCCCCAATTCTGCCATTCATCATGGGAACCTTCCAGCATGTGACAGACCATCAGCTCTGTTTAAAGACTAGAAGTGACAAGGACTATCTTACAAGGTGGCCCATTCTAATACTGGACATTTATAACAGATTCCTTTGTTCTGAGCTAAATTGAGTTTCCCTAAATTCCCACCTATTTGATCTTCTGTGGCCACACAACAGAAGTCTAACCTGTCTGTCCCAGGTCAGCCCTTGGGTTACATGAAGTCAGAGCTCAGGTGCCCTGGTCTTCTCCCTAGGGGCCCTAACCTGGGCTGACTTGCAGTTAATATGAGAATCTAAACTAAGTTACTGTTAAAAGCCAGAGGGATAGGTGAGTGGAAAGCATTTACCTACTGAGAGTGTGCTTTGGGGCCAAACTGGGTGAATTGGGAATAGATGATATCTTGAGGGTCAGCAGGGCTCAGGAAAGACCCCATTATAAGACCCCATTCCCTAAGCCGTGGCAGGGAGGCTAAGACTAAGGTTTGAGGTCAAGTACAGATCCCACACTCCCAAAGCATCCTGCCAACAATAACCAGGTAGACCCATGGGAGGTTTCAGGCATTGCTTCCCTGTATCTTCAGGAAAGAGTTTGCTTTCTTTCTACTTCATGAAGTTCAGTCAATAATTCTTCATAAATAATTTATTTTCATTGAGATCCTAAGTGCTGGAGATGAAAGACCTAAACTGGCCTTCAGAGCAGTACAGTTCTCAGACTAGAACATTTTAGGAAGTTCTATTCTTTTCTTAGTGTTTTAAATTAAAAAAAAATCCATTGTAAAGGGGCAAAGAACAGGGCAAATCAGCAAGAGGACTCTGGGAGCTTGGGGCCCACACTGCCCATGACTGAAATGTCATACACAGGATGGAATGGGAAGAGTCACTGCAAGAGGACACTCTCCCACTGCTGCATCTGGAAAGCTCACAGGCTGCTCTTTCTGAAGAAGTAGCGAAAGGGGAAGAGAGAGCTGTGGGAAGGAGAGCAGAATGGGTTAAGTTTCTAAAGGTCCCTCCCTTCTCCCAGTCCCATTAGGGCTCCATTACCTGGGGCATTTTTGCTTTGGGGAAACCACTGAATGGATTCAAGTCTGGAGTAGCATTTGAAAAGGTACCCAAATTAGCTTATACTTAGGAGTGGGGCATGAAGAAGGAGAACTGCAATGGGGGGGGGGGGCTGAGCTCTAGAGAGATAAAGGGATTTGCTAACTGTCTTTTGCAAAAAGGACTATGAAAACACAGCCAAGATTCAGAGGGGAGAATGGAAGCATTTGATAACCAAAGCATCTGAATGACCCAACAATATGAATAGTCTCTGCCCAAGCAGTATTTATGGAACGAGGTCCAATTGCTAGGCACACTGGGGTGGGTTGGATAAAAATGAACAAGACATACATAGTCTTTATTAAATTCAGTTAGGGCCCTTGTGCTGAGTCTCATTTCCGTCATGTGTCTTGGGGAAAATAGAGATTACGCAGGTAATCTGCTTTCTTTTCTAATTTCCCTGGGAGACTCAATGAGGCAGACTCTGGAGCCAGAGTCTCAGATTGATGGTAGGAGAGACATCTGTCCTACCTTAGAAACCCAAAGAAGCCACCAGTTACCAGCTCTGTGGGTCCTTTAGGTGGAAGTGGATTGTTTTGCTGTAGTGGGGGGATGATCTGTCCTGCTGGGCTGTCCTCTGACTTAGAATCTGCAAGGAAAACAGGGGAAAAGTATTAGTCTGTGGGCTACTTTCATGTGACATCCAATGAGCCAAGGGCAGCCTCATACCAAGATTGGTTTGAAGCCAGGTGAATTGTTTGTTCTGACCTTCCCAGTTTCATCTCAGCTCAGTTCTGAGATGCTATTCTGACCTTGGAGTATTTTTAGTTGGGCCCCTGAGATTTTTACACTGCTCAAGTCCTAGCCACCTGCCACGGATGGTGTCTTATCATGGAATGATGACTTGTTGAAGAAGTCATGTGCTTACATCCCTGAATCTGATATCTACAGTCCATACTGAAGCCTTATGCTAGACAACACCTTAACATGCATTCCTAGCCCTTGCCAAATATCCACTGCACCTTCAATATTAACACTAATGCCCTGTAGGAAGATTATTCTCCAACAAGACAAGTGAAGTACATCCCTCCCAACCTTTGTGTTAAACTTATTACCCCACATGGAAATATTTCAAATAGCAGGAGCATCATTTTCAGCATTAGAAACATGGGAAGGACATGCATTATTTCCCTTCACTTCTCTTGGGTGCTGGGTCAGCTTTTACTATTCAAAGGCAGGCCCCAAGACCAGAGGATGGCCAACAGGCATCTCCACGGGAGCAAGGCACATCACCCAGCAAGTGTGCCCAGACTCAGAGCTCTATGCTGCTCTGCTCATCAGAGAACTAAAGACAGGACAATTATTAAAAGAGAATAAATTTCTCAGAACCTACCCTGTTCCTGGACATCAGTGATATTAAATGCTGGGGTCTCTTGCCATTCCTGATGGGTTTTTCCTTCCCTGTTCTGATTAAAAGAAGATCAAGAAAAGTTTTAAACTTTACTCCTATATAGCTTGGTGGTCTGAATGCTATTTGATGGTTGGTGGTTAGTCAATGAAGACTTCACAGGGGAAGTAGTATTTGAATGGGGCCTTGATGGATGAGTGAGATTTTGTCATAATCTCCAGGCAGGGAGATGGTCAGAGAGAACAGGGCATTTTTGATAGGGATATAATGTACAAAGGCAAAGTACCATTAACAAGTAAATGTGATGAGCATGGCTAGAGCTGGGGTGGTGGAAACATGACTATGGCCTAAGCAACCAGCACAGTACAACTCAATCTTCTCCCTGTGCTACTTCTTTTGTACTGTGAAGGGGACATCCTATAATCTGGTTCCAAGCCCACAACATTTTCAGTTGACACCCTGATATTCAGAATCATGGTTCATATATTTAGTATTCTCTGCCAACTGGCCACTACCTTCCCCTGGAAAGAACCTGAGGGCCTGACTACCCAGCAGTGCTGGGAAGTTCCTTGAGCCATTGTGCTGGTGAAGAATTCTATAGCAAAGGATTACAGACTGTCAAGGTAGGTCAGCAGGCAGAGGCATGATGAGCCTCTAGGAAAGTTAGGATATATCCCCCATCCAAAGCAAAAGCTGTATTTCTAAGAGAAGATTTTCCACAAACCCTCAAATTTCAGAACACATCGGCTGCTACCTAAGCCAGATTCCTGTGAAAGTGAAAGTGAACTCTGGGGAGGAAGGAAACCATCTCTTACCTCTAAGTCTCCAGGTGTACTGGCTTACAGGGGTATAGCTCTGATTTGTGGTTTGAAGAAATGATTCTTACAAATTTAATGAAACTATGATTTAGAGCTTAAATTCTGCTGCATTGGCCCTAATGAAAGCTTCTACTTAGGTCGGCAGAAGGAAACAGAAGGGCAGAGGCCCCCCAGAGCAGAGGTAAAGATTTCCCAACCAGGGTAGATTCCCCTCACAAAATAGTCTAGCGTTTGTGCTCTTCTGAAATCTTGACAGGTGTCTTTTCAGACAAGTGTCATAAGAAAGGAAAAACACAGCCTGAAATAAGACTGAGAGTATCATCTGGGACATCCAATAAGACATTATAAACTTACAACCCAACACAAGGTTGTTCTCTGTATGTTCAGAGCCAGATCTGCTTGGAAGTACAGTTCAGGGAGAGGTGGCAAAAAAACAAAAAAACTACACACATGACAGTCTGTTTTACTTCTGAACCATTCATCTGCCCTCCCCCACTTTTTTATCCTTACAAAGTCCAGATCTCTAGTCTGAAGCCTGAAGTAATAAAAGGAATGGGTCTGCCTTTCCTTCCCATTCTCCCCAAAACACCTCTTATGAAACAGAGACCTTATTCAAATATGTGCTGTGTTCTTCTAAGCTTTCCTTGTACCAGCTCCCAGTGGTGTCATGTTCAGACATGACAGTCCACACTGACTGTGAACCTATACCGGGAGTTCCCCAAAGGGGAGAGAAAATATTAACCACTGGACCATAGGAGGAAATTCAATTTTTCCAGCTCAAGTGACTTACACTGAGAGTCACTGTGATCACTTAATTCAGGAGAAATCCTCTCTCTGGGAATAGGGTCTACGGTGGAGACCATCACTGGGCTTTGAGTCAAAATCAATAAACATGTTCCTTTTTTTTTTTCTCAGTTTTTTCTAAACCCAGTATCAGGTTGAAAGGTAATTATGTTGAGTAAGAAACTGTGGGTACTGTTCTTCAGGGAAATGATGTGTCAAACTAAGAATAGGAAGGTATGAAGGATAGAAAGTGAGGGAAATGTTCTTTTAATAGTAATTATCTTGGTTGTATAAAGTGTCTTTGTTCTTCAGATCTTCATGTACTCCTGTACTTTCTCATTTCTTTATCTTCCTTCTTGAAAGGATGGGAGTATAGTAGAGGGCAATCATCAGCCTATAACCACTCAGTGGGCCAGCTGGCCTTGGTACAATGGGTCCTCTACCCTGCCTCTACCCACAGGAGCAGAAGTGTGAGTCCCTGAGGGTTCTCTCTTCCCCCAACTATGTGTTAGCATGTACCTCAGCAGCTAACATGATACCTTGCAAAGAGGAGGCAGAAAAATCACTTAGAAATGAAAATTGCTTTATATTTCTATGTAAAAAATGTTTTGGGGAAATCCTGTGAACTTGAAGGTGGCCTTAAGTCCTTCATGATCCAGCCTGTGCTGACCTCCTCAGTAACATGTCTGAGCACTGGACTCTAACTAAGCTCCAGGTGCCCTGGCTTGCAGGCACCAAATGTACTCACTGTATGTACTCTTTCCTCTTGGCCTTAGTTGTCTGAGCTGTTCTGGGAACTCTCCCTCACAACCACCTAAATTAGGTGAGGCTCTCCTTTGTGGTCCCTTCATTCCTGGTGCTTCTTTTATTCCCACACAGAGCACATCTATCAATAACTGTCTGCCTAGTTTCATACCGTCGGCATCCTGGAGGAGAGCATGGTATTGCTAATACTTGGCACACAGTAAGTCTGTTGAATAAATGCACACATAGGGGGATCCCTGGGTGGCGCAGTGGTTTGGCGCCTGCCTTTGGCCCAGGGCGCGATCCTGGAGACCCAGGATCGAGTCCCACGTCGGGCTCCCGGTGCATAGAGCCTGCTTCTCCCTCTGCCTGTGTCTCTGCCTCTCTCTCTCTCTCTGTGTGTGTGTGTGTGACTATCATTAAATAAATAAATAAATAAATGCACACATAGATGCTTGCTCTGTAACTGATCATGTTATGGGTCTCGGGAAGGTGAGGGAGGCTAACTGGGAATGTTTAAATACTTAAGGTCAGAGATACTTTAGAGAGGTAAGTAATAAGTATGAAAAAGGCACAAATAACAGCTATTTCAAGAGGAAAAGAAAATTTAAAAAGTGTTCTTTTAGAGCCTACTTTGGAAAAGCAGCTCTGAAATGGAGAAGCAGCAGATACAGGAATATCTAAAAGGGGAATAAGGGATCCCTGGGTGGCACAGCGGTTTGGCGCCTGCCTTTGGCCCAGGGCGCGATCCTGGAGACCCGGGATCGAATCCCACGTCGGGCTCCCGGTGCATGGAGCCTGCTTCTCCCTCTGCCTGTGTCTCTGCGTCTCTCTCTCTCTCTGTGACTATCATAAATAAATAAAAAAAAAAATTAAAAAAAAAATAAAAGGGGAATAAATATCACAAATGAAATAAAATACTATTGGGGCCAGCCCATCACTGCCCTAAATGAAGTTTTCTCTTACCAGTATCCCATGCTGATACATGCCTACCTCATCTATAAAAACTACATGTTCCAAACACACACACACACACACACACACACACACACACACACACACACACTACATGTTCCCAGGCTCAGACCCCAGTGTAGATGATAGCAAAAATGTTTCTAAAATGAAGGAATTCTCTACTGGATCTCACCACAATTCAACAGACCTGTTTTCTTATCTTACTGCAGAGTATAAGAAGCAGCTTTTTAAGTTGAGAAGAAAAGACCTTTCGACAAAAGGATTCATTGATGTGTATAGTACGTGGCCACTTTTGGGACAGGTTGTGGCAAGGATGGAATGGTTGGATGTTCTGCAGATGGTGAAACTTGAGAATGAATTCAGTCAGTTCAGGCTGTACATAGGATGAAGATGTGCTGGTAATGGAAATCCTGACTGTAACAGAGCAGGAACAGCCAGAAGCCTTGAAGCCTCCATTTTGGTGCTTACCCTCCTGGTTTCCATAAGGGGCTTCTTTTTGCTGGGGCTTTGGCTGGAAATCCCGATCTTAGCCCTGAAGTGGGGGGAAAAGCCCAGGAAATGTTACTGGCAGCAGCAACATCACCACTTTTAAGCAAATATGGCCCAAATGAATATTTCAGCAGGTTAGCTATTTTTATACCACTCCTGGCCTGCAGAATAAATTGTGTGGCCAAATTCTCTTTGGGTGCTGCTTTAATTCACAGCAGAATCCCAATTTAAGACATTTAGCGATCTAGGGGTTGAGAAAGGGAAAATGTGATGGACATCAGGTAATCAGATTTTGAAATATTTGACTACATCAAAACCCATAGAAAGAAAAGCTGTGAGGCCTCATCCCCATGGAAAATTCAATCAAATAGAACTGAGCAAAGCTTCACACCTCCAAGTACCTTCACATTCCACCTGGCTGGGAAATAAATTTCCTAACTCTTCCCTGACATGTGCATTTGGAGGGTAGAGGGGTCAGCTCCCTCATGGTTCACACTCACTGCTCTTGTGTGCCCACATGGTCCTCGGAAAGGAGCAGTTGCTCTGTGAACATGGGCTAAAAGCATGTTGGGCTAGGGAGCAAACCACATCTTGGATTATTCCAACTGCCTTCTCTGGGGCTAATGAGAATGACTGAATTACCTTACTGACTGACTCACTCTGTCCCTGACAGAGATTCAAAAGAAGAAAATAAGTAGCCTCCACAATAGCAACTTCAACATGTTAGGGATGTGTTCAACATTGCCCCTAATATTGCAGCATTCCATGCAATAATCTTGCAGACATTTACATTTAGCCTATTCTATCTCTTAAGGTAGAGTTCCAAAACTTACTTACTTACTAGTAAGTAAGCTTACTAGTAAGTAGCTTACTAGTTAAAGTAGGATTATACTTTATTTTTTCCCACTCTATTGAGGGTTTCTCTATATTCTTGTATAATATACTGGGATTTCTTAAGTCATATGCCTTCTGGTAGTATGACCATATTAATACTCACTGAATATGGATTGGATTCAATTGTATAGATATGATTGCATTTCTTCCCAGCCATTGTCTGATGAACAGAAGAATCCTACTTTGCTGAGGAAAGATTTGTGTTCAAATTGTAGTCCACCCCAGAGAAACAGGCAGGTACCAATGAAGCCCCAAGACAAAAAGTGACTCACTAAAGGATAAAATCAACTGGCAGCAATAGCTGGCAAAGCCTAACGAGGGTGCAGGATTTAGACTCTCTCAACACCACTGACCTGTCCAGCCCTGGCCTGCTGGGGGAGCTGAGCACTTCCACTCGTTTTCGTTTCCTGGCTCCTGCTGCTTTCCTCTCTGTGAGGACCTTCAGAGAAGAACCACACTCCTGTGACTCCTTTTCCAGAGTTGCTCACAGTTCATGAGGGCAGTGAGGACAACTCCCCATCTTTAAATTGCCAAGAGCAACATTTAACACCCGCTTTTCAAGTAAGAATAGATATTCTGTTAGAGACCAACTCAGAACTCTGGCCATGAAGAAAAAGATGGTCTCATATATACAATTCTGACTGCATCTGAGCAGCGGCCAAAGAGCAAAGTAAGAGGAAAAGATAAGAGCAGGACCTTTTGATCAATACAAGGCAATAAAGGCAATCTTCATCTTGTACAGAAAAGGCAAACTTACCAATCCAAGAGGACTGTCTTTTATTGGTTTCCCTACAACAGGAAATTTGAATGTCATAATGAATCAAGATGCTGTTTCACCTGGATTTCTGGCTATCATTTATTTCTCAGAACTGGTTCTAGACAAAAACCTCTGTGTCTGCCCTTCTCCTTTCTGTCTGGTACCACTTTTGCTAGAGATACAGTGTCTTCAAATTCTCTTCCTCCCCTATTTTAGAACTATTGTCATCTACAAGCTCAGAAGTATTACAGTCATACTGTATTCTAATGATATGCCACTTAAAAGGGAATGGAACTTCAGATATCAGTGACAAATGAATTGGGGAGATATTTTGAGGCAAGGCATTTGCACTTTTTCAAATCAAACTGGCAGGCATCTATTTGTCCCTCTATGAATAAAAATAGCCATAGCCTTCAGAGATTAAAAACTGGGAGACACCTTTAAGATACCCATAAGGTGAAAGTCACTGCACACTCTAAAATGGAAGTATTTTTATATAATAGATCACTTTCATTGAGTGATTACTGTCAGACTTTTTACTACTTTCCATCTACCAGTATTTATATATACTTAATCCTTTTAAGAACCCAACAAGATAGGTACTATTATTCTTCTTCACCATTTCACAAGAGACACAGAAAGATGAACTAATTCATCTAAGATCACACAACTATTAAGTGGAAAATCCACCAGGATTTAAACCAGGCAGTCTGGCTTGGAGCACTTTGCTCCTAACCTCTGCACTGTGTGGTATTGGGGCCCAGTCTGGCTGACCATTTTGCCATATTGAGCTTGCATTGCTAACCCATGGACATTCAACCTTCCCTATTTCTTCTCTCCACTCACACTTCCAACATTCTACTTACCTGGTGACAGACTTTCATGAAACCATTTCATCTCCACATACAGAGTGAAAACAAATGGATAGGGGACCAAGACAATTTCCCCATGTTTGAATTTCAGGTGGGATATGCTCTCCCATTTGCTTTTATCTGGGAAATGGTGCTAAGGAATGAGGAAAGAAGTTAGTCATGTGAATCCCTCAGTACTATTTTAGGGATAAGGCCCTCTCCTTTCCCTGGTTTGCCCTGTGGGTTTGCTTCTTCCATTTGAATCTACAATGTGGCTTGCCGCTCATTTCTATCCAGAAATGAAAGGATACAGGGAAATATAATGAAGTGCTCTGTAGCAAATGGCTGCAAATTGTCCAGGTTTCCCAAGACTACACGAATAGAATCCTGAAAAAAAAAAGTGAAATAACTTTAATATTGTTTGGTCCCAGCCAATATTTCCATTTATACCTGTCACTGTTTTTCACATGCTCTATATTCTATTAAAACTGAACTGTTTACTGTTTCCTGAACATGTCTTCTGCTTCTTCATTTCTGTGTTCTTGCATAGTCTGTTCCCTCTGCCTGAAATGCCCTTTCTACTAATCAGCCTATGTCCAAATCCTACCTATCCTTTACGGTCCAGTTCAAAAACTATCTCCTCCAGAAAGTTCTCCCTGATTCCCCAAGTTGGAAATTAACTATTAGTCTCAAACTTCACAGTAGTTAGTCTTGAATCTTTACTACATTCTATCCATACTTTATGTTTATTTTTTTATGAAGAAATCTCCTTGAGCTAGAATATATACCTGATTTATTTTAGCATCCTTTCTATTTTAGCATCCTCAGTAAATGTATACTGAATGAATGAATAATACTGGTATTTATTGATATATAATTTTACTTTAGCTTAAGCCGAATCTTTTCTTCCACTCTTTTAAAATCTTGATTAGTCTCTAATTAATCCATGCTTATTAGTATATATCAATTAAACAATTTGGTATCATAAAAAGACTACAGGATTTCTATGGGGAAAACATCTGAATTTCAGTCTTAGCTTTGTCATTTCATCTCTCTAAGCCTCAATTTCCTTGTATTAGGGCTCACAGAAGGTGCCTTATTTATCTTTGTATTCTCTGTACTATCATAGTACCTGGCTTATAATTTTAAAGTTTATTTATTTATAATCTCTGGCTTATAATTTTAAAGTTTATTTATTTATAATCTCTATGTCCAGCATGGGGCTTCAACTCATGAGCCTTAGATTAAGAGTTGTATGCTCCACTGACTGATCCAGCCAGGAGCCCCTGGCTTATAATTTTTTTTTAAAGATTCATTCATTCATTCATTCATTCATTCATTCATTCATTCATTCATAGAGAGAGGGGGGCGCAGAGACACAAGCAGAGGAAGAAGCAGGCTCCAGGCAGGAAGTCCGACGTGGGACTCGATCCCAGGTCTACAGGATCACACCCTGGGCTGCAGGCGGCGCTAAACCGCTGTGCCACCAGGGCTGCCCCTGGCTTATAATTTTAATAGCTAATATTTATTGATAATCACAATAGCAAGTGTTATTGTTTTTACATGTATTAACAGTCACAGAGACCTCATGAAATAGGCACTTCTACTATCTCCATTTTACAGACAATGAAATTGAGACAACGAGAGGTGAAATAACTTTTTGAGGGCTACACAGCTAGTAACGGTAGAGCCAAGATATAAACCCAGGACCAGTGGGGTTCCAGAGCTTACTCTTTTAACCATTAGGCTCACTGCCTATCAACAAACCTTTTCTGAAAAAATAAAAGAGGATGATAACATCTGACTCAAAACTGAGAGTAAGAATGTATAAAAAGCTCTTTGAAAAATCTGGTAGGATTATAAATGTATACAGATGCTACTATTTATTGAGCTACTTACTGTGTGGTAGGCATTGCACACATCTATTTCTAATCTTCACCAGAATCTTGGAAATAGGTATTATTTATCAACCGCATTGACAGGTAGGCAAACAGGCTCAGAGAAAGTAGGTGACTTGCCCAAAATCCCAGTGTGAAGGCAGAACTTAAATCCAGGTGTGACTGGCTCTAAGTTTACACTCTTTCCACTTTACTATGGTGCCTTGAGCTTTTCTCTGCCCAAATTAATGGAAGCAAAGTGAAATAAACTCTGCTCTACTCACAATTAAAATAAGCAGAAAACTGTTAGGGTCTTATATTAAAATAATTATTATTTATAACAATGTCTGTGAGCTCCTGTAAGAACCTAATGCATCTTTCAACACTTAACCAAAGAGCTATACATAAATACCATTAAGGCTATGACTCAAAATTTTAGTTTCACGGAGTTTTGTTTGTATATGTCATTGTATTCAAATTCTTTGAAATACAGCAGTATATGTCTTCATAAATTAGAACAGTCATAAATCACTGAGTTGTGAAGTTAGAAAAGAAATAAACTCGTTTAGCACTCTCATTTTACTAATGAAGCAATTAAGACCACGAGAGAGAATTATTTGCAAGGGGTCGCATGGCTAATCAGTGGCTCAACACAGATGGAATCCAGAGCCAGCACTCAGAGCTCTAACTCCTTGGGCAATGCTTTTATCAATTTACAAAGCTGTTCATTTGCTCAGTCTTCTTCCTGTGGGAGAACCTAAAGCTGGGTAGAAAAGGAATGAAAATGAAGTGGGAATAAAGCAAATTGCAAATGTTTCCAATTAAAGTGAAGACACAGCAGTCTTGTCTATTTACAGTTGAGTTTCCTGAACGTCAAGTACCAGGCAGTGGTTGGGAGGGTGAGGTTTCCCAGGGCCCTGGAAGGCAGCAGTCCTCCAGAAGCTTTCTCTACGCCAGCTGCCACAGAAGAGAGCTGCAGAGGGCTGGGAACTCTGGTGGAAACAATAGAACTCAGCCTCAAAGATGCTGACACTTCAACTAGGAGAACTGAGAAAAGATACAGGCTTTAATTTCCCTGGAAAAACAGTGAAGTTTCTTTGCAGAGAAAACATGGCAGGGAGAAGCCAAGTGATCAAATGGAGGTTGTGACTCAGTTCACAGGAAATAATTAAAATCTGAATATGGACATATCCTTGGCTTAAAGAATAACTTTCCCAGAAGTCATCTGCTTCTTTCCCTACCTCCAGCTCCTGGACGATGACTTCCTTATCCTCTATTTCTTCCCCTCTAGAAGGTAAACAGACAAGACATAAGTAAACCAAGAAGGAAAACTCTGAAGACAGTAGACTTTATTGTCAGTAGAGAAGACAGCAGAGCAAAAATGACACTTCCACTGAGCTACAGAAACATGACTAAGTAACAGTTGTGTGTGTTGACACAGGGCTCACAGGAAGAAGAGATCACCTAGGTGGTGTGGTCTGAGAATTGGTAGAAGGCTGTACCAAAGTATCTTCTTTAACCAGCCAAGACCTGAAATTCCCATTGTGAGAATTAATAATTTGTTAGACTAGTCGTACTCAAGTGTAGTCTGTGGGCCACCAGGTATCCTCAAGACCCTTTCAAGGGATCTCGAAGGGTAAAACTATTTTTTTTTTTAAATATGGAACGCTTCACGAATTTGCGTGTCATCCTTGCGCAGGGGCCATGCTAATCTCTGTATCGTTCCAATTTTAGTATATGTGCTGCCAAAGCGAGCACTAAAACTATTTTTATAGTAATTTATAGTAGATTTATAGTAGATGTTATTTGCCCTTTTTTTCCTTGTGTTAACATTTCAATCATTACTGCAAAAGCAATGGGGGGCAAAATTGCTGGTGCCTTTGTGCAAATCTAGCCAGTTGCACTAAACTGTACTAGCAGTTGTGGTAATCCTTACTGCCACACGGGGAAAAATATTAAATATAAATATAAAAATAAATCAAATATATTAATAATTTTATAAAATCTCAACCCTTAAGTACATTACGTGATAAAGCGGAAAGTACTCATAAAGCACTTCTGCTGCATACTGAAATATGATGATTGTCTTGAGGAAAAGCACTTGTGCAACTGTTTAAATTGCAAACTGAACTAGCTGGTCTTTTCATGGAATGTTATTTTACTTCAATGGCCAGCTAACAGACAAACTATAGTTGTTATTTGGATTTAGGAATGTGACATTTTCTCAAAAATGAACAGTGACCTTATCAATTCAAGAAAAACAACTGAAAGTGTTTGTGTCAATGATAACTTTTTGGGATTTTATGGCAGAGAGAGAGAGAGAGAGAGAGGAGAGAGAGAGAGAGAGAGAGAAAGGCTCCATGCAGGGAGCCCAATGTGGCACTCGATCTTGGGACTCCAGGATCACACCCTGAGCCAAAGGCTCAGGCTCAACCACTGAGCCACCCAGGCATCCCTACTTTTGAGATTTCAAGCAAAAATTTAAACTTTGAAAAACTTCTATCCACCACACTGAGGTTGACAACTTTCAAATATTTTAATGTTTTTCTAAGATTGGTAGTGATATTAGCAAATATGATTTTTTGATATTGTATAATGAAATGTGTTGACATTTAAATGATCTATATGTCAGTAAACCAGTATTTTCCAAATGACCACAAATCACATCATGTTACAAAATCATTCTCGGTAAAGATTCATTCACAGAACAAGACAGATCGATGGCTTTTAATGTAGCAGAGTTCAAAAAGTTCACTGATATAATTCAGATTCCATATTGCAACTAAACCTTTAAAAAATTACCACATTAACGGGCACCTAGGTGGCTCAGTTGGATGAGCAACTGACTCTTGATTTCAGTTTAGGTCATGATCTCAGGGTCCTGGGATAAATCTCCACCTTGGGTTCCTGACTTTGTGTTCCTTGCTCAGCGTGGAGTCAGCTTGAGATTCTCTCTTTCCTTCCCTCTCCCTCTGCCCCCCCCCCTTGATCACCCATTCTCTCTCTCTCTAGTCTTTAAACAAACAAACACTTACTGCATTAGGGAAGCCTGGGTGGCTCAGGTGGTTTAGTGTCCAACTCCTGGTTTTTGGCTCAGGTCATGATATCATGGGACATGAGATAGAGCCCCCCAGCCAGACTCCATGCTGTCTGCTTGGGATTCTTTGCCTCTCTCTCTCTCTCCCTCTGCCCCTCCCCCTGCTCATGCATGGGCATGCATTCTCTCTTTCTCTAAAATAAATAAATAAATAAATTTTTTAAAGACTCTCCTTCCACCTCTCCACCTGCTCTCTCTCTCAAATAAAATTAAAAAAAAAAAAAAACCTATGTTAAAACAAAACAACTACCATTTGCTAAGTTTTGATGCAGGGTCAAAAGAATATTCACAATGATTTGTGAAATCTATTACCAAATCTCTATGCTTCCCAACTACAAATCTATGTGGGGCTGGATTTTTTTCATATAACTCAACCCCCTACCAAAAAAAAATTCACAACAGATTGAATGCAGAAGCAGATATAATCTAGCAGCCTTCTTTTAAACCAGACACTAATGAAATTTGCAAAAATTTAAAACAATGCCAATCTTCTCATTAATATTTTCTCTTAGAAAATATGGTTATTTTTAATAAAAATGTGTTAAGGGATCCCTGGGTGGCGCAGCGGTTTGGCGCCTGCCTTTGGCCCAGGGCGCGATCCTGGAGACCTGGGATCGAGTCCCACATCGGGCTCCCGGTGCATGGAGCCTGCTTCTTCCTCTGCCTATGTCTCTGCCTCTCTCTCTCTCTGTGACTATCATAAATAAATAAAAATTTTAAAAAAATAAAAAAATTAAAATGTGTTAATATTTAATGGATGCATTATTATTTTTAAATTGTGGTAAAATACATATAACCTAAAATTTGTCATTGTAACCATTTTTAAGTATACAATTCAATAGTATTAATTACACTCATAACTATGGTGTGCAACCATCCACCACTATTTCCAAAGTTTATCTTCCCAAACAGTAACACTGTAATTATTAGTCAATAATTCCCCATTTTGGGATCCCTGGGTGGCGCAGCGGTTTGGCACCTGCCTTTGGCCCAGGGCGCGATCCTGGAGACCCAGGATCGAGTCCCACGTCGGGCTCCCGGTGCGTGGAGCCTGCTTCTCCCTCTGCCTGTGTCTCCGCCTCTCTCTCTCTCTCTCACTGTGTGCCTATCATAAATAAATAAAAAAAAATAATAATAATTCCCCATTTTGCCTTCCACCTCCCCCCTGGTGACTCCTAGTCTCCTGTGTCTATGAATTTTCCTATTTAATATTTCATAGAAGCAAAAAAATATTTCATAGCAGAGTCATACATTTTTCCTTTTGTTATTGGGTTACTTCACTTAGCATAATGTTTTCAAAGTTCATCTATGTTGTACCTGAAGAACATCTATGTTGTACCAAAAGAACTTCATTGCTTTTGCAATTTCTTTTTATGGCTAAATACTATTTTATTGTATATATGTATATACCACACATACGAACTGCATTTTGTTTATCCATTCACCAATTTGATGGACACTGTGTTGTTCCCACCTTCTGGCTACTGTGAATAATACAGGCTTGAACATTGTTTGTACAAGCATCTGCTTGAGTCCCCATTTTCAATTCTTTTGGGCATATACCTAGGAATGAAATTGCTGGGTCATATGGTAATTCTATGTTTAACTTTTTGAGGAACTGCCAAATTGTTTTCCGTGGCAGGTGCACTATTTTATATTCCTATCAGCACTATACAAGGCTTCCAATTTCTCCACATCCTTGCCAGCTGCTATTCTGCTTTTTTTTTTAATATAGCTATCCTAGTAGGTGTGAAGTGGCATCTCATTGTGATTTGGATTTGCATTTCCCTAGTTACTAATGATATTGAGCATCTTTTCATGTACTTGTTCGCCATTCAAATATCTCCTTTGAAGAACGTCTATTCAAGTCCCGTGTCCATTTTTAAATTGATTTTATTTTTTGCTGTTGAGTTATACTTCTTTCTGTATTTTATATATTAAACTCTTATCATATATATGATTTACAAGTATTTTCTCCCATCTGTGGGTTCCCTTTCACTCTATTGATAGTGTCCTTTGATGCACAGTTTTTAGTGAAGTTCAAATGTATCTAATTTCTTTTGTTGCCTATGCCTTTGGTATTGTATTTTAAGAAACCACTGCCAAATTCAGTCATGAAGATTTGTTTCCTCCTAACAGTTTTATAGTTTTAGCTCTTTGATCTATTCTTTTTAAGATTTCATTTATTTATTCATGAGAGACAGAAAGAGAGAGGCGCAGAGACATAGGCAGAGGGAGAAGCAGGTCCCCCACAAAGAGTTGGATGCAGGACTCCATCCCAGATCCCAGGATCATGCCCTGAGCCAAAGGCAGACACTCAACCCCTGTGCCACCCAGGCATCCCTCTTTGATCTATTTTTTAAATGATTTTATTATTGCCCAGTCTGCTAGCATGTTCTTTGGTGGTCCAGAAATCCAGAGAAGTTGTCATTTCATTTTTGGGAGCTCTCAAGCATTTCCCCCCCGACAGGTGAGACTGCAGAAAGTCCAAGATGAACATCATGTTTGCAGACACAGTGCTCATCGTTTTTATCTCTGTGTGTATGGCTCTTCTCGCCAAGGTTATCACTTGGGTCCTGGTTTACAGGACAGACAAGTACAAGACACTAAAAGCGGAGGTGGAAAAACAGAGTAAAAAACTGGAAAAGAAGGGCACCTGGATGGCTCAGTGGTTGAGCATCTGCCTTTGGCTCAGGTGGTGATCCCAGAGTCCTGGAATCAAGTCCCGCATCGGGCTCCCTGCGGGGAGCATGCTTGTCCCTCTGCCTATGTCTCTGCCTCTCTTGCTGTGTCTCTCATGAATTAAAAAGAAAGAAAAGAAAAGAGGAAAGAAAGAAGGAAAGAAGGAAGGAAGGAAGGAAGGAAGGAAGGAAGGAAGGAAGGAAGGAAGGAAGGAAAGAAAGAAAGAAAGAAAGAAAGAAAGAAAGAAAAAGAAAGAAGAAAGAAAGAGAAAGAAAGAAAGAAAGAAAGAAAGAAGAAAGAAAGAAAGAAAGAAAGAAAGAAAGAAAGAAAGAAAGAAAGAAAGAAAGAAAGAAAAAAAATCGGGGCCAGTCTGGGTGGCTTAATGGTTTAGCGTCACCTTCAGTCCAGGGCGTGATCCTGGAGACCCGGGATCGAGTCTTAGTCCCACATTGGGCTCCCTGCATGGAGTCTGCTTCTCACTCTGTCTGTGTCTCTGCCTCTCTCTCTCCGTTTCTCATGAATAAATAAATAAAATATTTTAAAAAATGGAAATAAGAAGGAAACAATGACAGTCATTTGGTAGACAACACAAAACTGAAAAATAACAACAGGGACCTATCCGAATGAAATCCATGTTTGCAATTGGCTTTTGTTTTACTGCCCTAATGGGAATGTTCAATTCCATATTTGATGGTAGAGTGGCAGCAAAACTACTTTTCACCCCCCTCTCCTATATCCAAGGTCTACCTTATCAAAACCTGCTGGGGGATGACACCACAGACTGTTCCTTCATCTTTCTGTATATTTTCTGTACCATGTCAATTCGACAGAACATCCAGAAGATTCTTGGTCCTGCCCCTTCATGAGCTGCCACCAAGCAGGCAGGTGGTTTCTTGGTCCTCCACCTCCTTCTGGGAAGTTCTCTTGAAAACAAGAAGAATCCTGTAATTCCTGTTATTCTTTTCAAATTAAAAAAATTTTAGGGAGGGATCCCTGGGTGGCGCAGCGGTTTAGCGCCTGCCTTTGGCCCAGGGCGTGATCCTGGAGACCCCGGATCGAATCCCACGTCGGGCTCCCGGTGCATGGAGCCTGCCTCTCCCTCTCTCTGTGTATCTCATGAATAAACAAATAAAATCTTAAAAAAAAATTTTTTAAATAAGTCTGTTGGTTAGATAAATTCAGGTGATGTTTATGTACTGAGAAACAAATAGCATTTTTCTTGTTTGGCTTACATGAATATTTTCTGTGGGATTGACTCTCAAGTCTATGCTGTATGCCATGTACCGTGGAAGTTGGTTCTCCATGAGCAATTAGAAATCTGGAAGAAAAATTTAGTTTGTGGCATCTTAATCGGAACTATTTGTTGTACATTGTTTCCAAGTCAAGTAAATGACCCAAGATCAATAAAGAGGCCAAAAGGTTAGCTAAAAAAAGGGGGGGGGTAGATTTATTACCTACTTAGAGGAGGGAGGAGCAGAGGGAGAGAGAGTCTTAAGCAGATTCCCTGCTGAAAAACAGACCCGAACACAGGACTCAGTCTCACGACCCTGAGATCATGACCTGAGCTGAAACCAAGAGTTGGTCCCTGAACCAACTCTGCCACCCAGGTACCCCTAGATCTCTGATCTATTTTTAGTTAAGTTTTGTATACAGTATAGTTAAGGGTCTAACTTCATTTTTCTGAATGTGAATATCCACTCTTCTCAGAACCATTTATTAAAGACACTGTTCCTCCTCTATTGAATGGTCTTGGCATTCTAGTAAAAAACCAACTGACCATAGATGTGAAGGTTTATTTCTGGGCTCTCAATTCTATTCTACAGTCTATAAAGTTGTCCTAATGCCATTACCATACTTTTTGATTACCTGCAGCTTTGTAGTAAGTTTTTTTTTTTTTTATTTTATGATAGTCACACAGAGAGAGAGAGAGGCTGAGACACAGGCAGAGGGAGAAGCAGGCTCCATGCACCGGGAGCCCGACGTGGGATTCGATCCCGGGTCTCCAGGATCACGCCCTGGGCCAAAGGCAGGCGCCAAACCGCTGCGCCACCCAGGGATCCCTGTAGTAAGTTTTTAAATTGGGAAGTATTAGTCTTCCAATTTTGTTCTTTTTCAAGATTATTGTGGCTATTCAGGGTCTCTTGAAATTCCCTATCAATTTTTTAGATGGGCTTATCCATTTTCTTAAGTAACTTATAAACAATTTATTAAAAAGTTTGATTTGAGCATCTGCAGTGGTGACTTCAACCTTAACTCTTGGCTCAATACCGATGTAAGTAATCTGTTTAACAATCTCAGAAGGGCTGATCCTCATCAGAAAACGATCCCAAATCTCAGAACCTTCACAAGAAGTTTTTCTTGTAGTGATTCTCAGAGTCTTGGTAGTCATCTGAACTGGTCCTTCTACTTTGAGATTCTTTTCCTTTGCACCTCTGATCAAGTCAGCATATACCTTTTCTAGAGATTTTTTGTTGTAGCTGGTGAGAGTAATTTTTTAAAAAGATTTTATTTATTTATTCATGAGAGACACAGAGAGAGGCAGAGACATAGGCAGAGGGAGCAGGTTTCCCCCAAGGAGCCTGATGTGGGACTCGATCCCTAACTGTGGGATCACATCCTGAACAGAAGGCAGATGCTCAACCGCTGAGCCACCCAGGCGTCCATAATTCTGGCATTTTTAAAAGATTTTATTTATTTATTCGTGAGAGACACAGAGATACAGAGACACAGGCAGAGGGTGAAGCAGGCTCCCCGAGCAGGACCCTCGGATCACGACCTGAGGCAAAGGCAGATGCTCAACCACTGAACCACCCAGGTTCCCCTGGTGAGTGTAATTCTAATTCAGTGAATTGCCACCTCTGGTTCCACAAGTGTCTCCCTGGTGTTTTTAAAAGCCATGGCTGTGGCGTGGTTCCTGACTGACTTGTTCCTTGGCCAGAGTGAACAGTGGTGAGTTAGGAGCAGGAGTGGGGTGTCCAAGGCTCCACTGTAGGTGCAACCACATCTTCCTCAGAGGGCACTTGTCCATTTTTGAAAAATATGCCATTGGGATTTTGATAGAGATTTCACTGAATCTGTAGATTGCTTTGTCACCTTAATAATATTAAGTCTTCCAATACACAAACATAAATCTATTAAGGCTTTTATTTCTTTTGGCAACTTTTCACAGATTTTAGTGTGCAAGTTTTGTATTGTGGTTAAATTCATTGCTAATTATTTTTTTTCTTATTGATACTATTGTAATCAGAATTTTCTCAATTTTTTTTCAGATTGTTTTGCATACAAATACAACTGATTTTGTGTGTTGATTTGGTATCCTGAAACTGCTGAATTCATTGATCAGGTCTAACAGGGTTTTTTTTGTGCATATGTGGATTCTTTAGGGTTTTCTATGTGTAAGATCATGTCTTCCACAGATATAGCTGCACTTCTTCCTTTCCAATTTGTATGATTTAATTTCTTTTTCCTAATTGCTCTGGCTAGAAACCAGTACTATGATGAAGAGAAGTGGTAAAAGGGGGCATCCTTGTTTTGTTCTTGATCTTAAGGGAAAAACTTTTGAAGTTTTTCATAAATGAGTGATGTTAGCTGTGGATTTTCATATATGGCCTTTATCATATTGAAGAAGTTCCCCTCTATGCCTAGTTAACTGAGTGTTTTTATCATGAAAGGGTTCTAGATTTGGTCAAATGCTTTTTTTTTCTTTTTTCTTTTTTTAAGTAGGCAGGAGTTTACTGAATACATCAAAAGGGAGCAGCAGGCAGGACAGCAAAGGAGAAGCCATCTACCTTAAATGCCTTTTCTTTATCAATTGGGATGATCATGTGTTTTTTTCCCCCTTCATTCTATTAATGCAGTGTATTATATTGATTGATTTTTTTTTTATTGGTTGATTTCTGTATGTTGAACCATCATTGCATTCCTGGGGTAAATCCCAGGCATGTAAACAATGCCAATTGTTTTAATGCCAATTAATTTTTTTAGAAATATAGTTCTTTTTTTAAAGATTTTTTATTTGAGGGATCCCTGGGTGGCGCAGCGGTTTGGCGCCTGCCTTTGGCCCAGGGCGCGATCCTGGAGACCCGGGATCGAATCCCACGTCAGGCTCCCGGTGCATGGAGCCTGCTTCTCCCTCTGCCTGTATCTCTGCCTCTCTCTCTCTCTCTGTATGACTATCGTTAAAAAAAAAAAAAAAAAGATTTTTTATTTGAGAGAGAGAGAGAACAAACAAGGGGAGGGGCAGAGGGAGAGGAAAAGAAAGAATCTCCAGCAGACTCCCTACTGAATACAGAACCTGATTGGGGTTCCATCTCATGACCCTGAGATTATGACCTGAGCCCAAATCAAGAGTCAGACACTTAACCAACTGAGCCACTCAGGTGCCCCTAGAAATATAGTTATTTTTAATAAAATGAGTTATTTGTTAATATTTAATATTATTTTAGATTAATAAGTATATTATTTTGATTTTTTAAATCTTTATATGATACATATTGACAGGTATAACCCACATAATCAAAACTTCTTTGGGATCCTCAATAATCTTAAGAGTAAAAAGGGATCCTGAGATAAAAAATCTTGAGAACCACTACTCCAGAGGTATGCCATCACTAATTTAGAAACTTACATGAATAATAACGTATGGAATATAAAATACCTGGGAAAGAGAGTCCTTCAAGATGCTATTTTTAGCCAGTCTCATGGACTGAGTGAAGGCAGAGAAGGGATGACCTGTGGAAATGTACTAACCTGTATTTGAAAAGACTACTCTCCTAGCCTTAAAATTACCTGATGTTGTTGCCATATCTAATTTTGAATTTATACACATTGGGTCCTGCATGAAGAAATCTCGTCTCTGGAAACGGGTAGGTGAAGGGTTTTAAACTCATTGCTCCCAAATGATAGCCTAAATAAAACAGAAATATTAGAGAATTATTAAAAAGTTAAGATGGTTCCTTACCAACTTTATGGTATGTGAAAGACAGCCTGCCCAATCTGTAGCTTCTCTTCATGAGTAAAATGTCCAACACTCAGCACCATTGCCTATGTCCTAGGCTCAGTTTTTATACTAATCATCTATATTAATCACCTGGGCCATTTTCCTACCTACTTGGGGATGATATATGGTGGGTAATCTCTCTACTTGAAATCAAAAGACCTGAGTTCAAGTTTGTAGTTTATCTTACAACCTTGGGCAAATCACTTCTCTCCATAAGACTACTGATACTAACATCTGACGACTCACAAGGTTTTTGTTAGGATTAAATCTATCTCTCAAATATCTCTTGAATCTATTCTCCTCCCTTGTCCCCACTTTCCCTGGAACCTAGGCTAATGTGAAGAGATCTCAGGTCAAATACTGAAACAATCCAAATGCACCAATAGGTGGCACAATTAGGAAGACCTCTGCTGTTAATTTTAGATAAAGTTAAGGGATAAACATAACTTCTTACCACAGCTAATACAGCAAATAAGGATGTACACTAATGTTTCCCAGTTCTGCTGAGGAACACTCTTTCCTACCTCTCAACCACTCTTCCTCTTCACCACTTGAGACTGCCCTGTGCCACAAGAGTGCCTACCATCCTCCTAGAGCTTACTAGTTTTACTTTTCCTATTCTAGAATCTCTGCTCACTTAAGGTTCTGAGGGAAACTCAGGAAAGGGGAAAGATGAAAAAAGAAGAATGGCATGTCTCTTCTCCTCCAAGAGGGCATTTGGTACACTCAGAAGAAAGAATCAAGCACAGTGATTCGTGATTTTCTAAGTCACTAGGACTTTTCTGTGCCTTTTTACTTGAAGAGATAATAAACCCTATATGTTCTGTCTCTTCATATGAAAGTTTGAGTAATAAATAATGAGATTAGAGATCCAGAGTTCCCAAGGATAAAAACTACCTACACACAAACACAAAGTATTGGTTTCTGAGACAGCTAAGATGGGGCAGACAGAACAGACACAAAGAATAATTTAGGTTTGAACTTAAGGTCAAATATCCCTTAGTTTCTCTGAACCTTGGTTTTCTTGCTTATACAATAATAACAACACAACTGTTTTGCCCTATTTAAAGTGCTTTATATATATTATCTCACTCGATCCTCACAATAAGCCTGAAATCAATAGTCTAAATTTCATAGATAAGGAAACTGAGGTACTGAGAGATGAAGTAACCTCTCCATAGCTATATGAATGTTGGAATCAGGTTTCAAAATGAGGTAATATAAGGCCAGATTTGATGCTCTTATCCACTTTTCCACTCTGCTTTTATGGGGGGGGGGTTAGTACAAAAAAATAATACAATGAATATAAAATCATTTTGTAAGTACTAAAATATTATATACAAATAAAGGACTATTTTCATTATTCTTTCCTTCATATTACCCTAGTCCCATTTCTACTCAGGAGGGAAATCTCTTGTATGGTGGAGTCAGGAGATCTATGTGCCCAAAGAATGGAATTTCCCATAATTTCCAAAGTTCATGTCTGGGGCTGCCAGTAAAGAGATATCCCAGTGTCTGATCTCGGCTACTTGGGATTAGAATGACAGGAGGTTGGAGCCAGAACCCATGAGACTATTTAGACTAGAATTGCAGTCAAAAATGAAAAGAAATAGTTGGTGCCAATTGCAAAGTTACCAGAGGGGAAATATTGTTCATATCCTGAAAGAAAAAAAAAAAGCTTGCTGTTTCCCATGCCCAAAGCATGGCAATAACCCAGCTAGATTTGATTGTTTTTGCTGCCAGGGTGATTTTGTAGCAGGAAAGGAGCCCACCTGGTGAGACTTAGGTTGCTGCCACAAAAATTTAGCTTTCAGTTATTCAGAGGGTTCTCCTAAAATGCAGTCACCTCTGACCACAGACTGAAGTCTGGGGGATCATAGCAAAGGAAATGAAGAACATTTGCTGGAAATGACAATCCAGCAAGGAAACTTCATGTACTGGGCCACAGCTGGCTGTCTGAAAGAGGTAAAAACAGTCCTCTCTGGCTGGGGCCTGCCTGTTAATTGCTGGCTGCCTGCTTCAGAAACAAACACCACACACTAATTACCTCATTTGAAAATAAAGATTAGACAGCATAATCCAAAAGAACCACATAGTAGTAGTGGTTCAGAGGTTTCACAAGGTTATTTTCCAACTTGAGTACTGTAGTCATGATGACACTATGAAATCTTAACAGATGAAGGGTCAGACTCTCAACCCATTTTTAGGTGATCAAAAAACAAGATGGGTTTAAAACAAAAAAGAAAAGTGTAGAGGCAATACGCAACAGTTGGAAAGACATAAGATTTGGAATTGGAGGATCAAGGTGTGAGTCCTAGCTCTGCCTCTTATTCGTCATTAGACCCTGAGCATGTCACTTAGCTTCATCATTTCTCAGTTTCTTCACTAACAAATGGGGATCCCATCTACCCCTGGAGTTACTGTGGGATTAAATAAGATTACATTGTAAATAGCACTTCATAAATTCTAGAGTATTGTATAAACATTAGCTGTTTTGATAGATTTGATGTTTCTCTCTTAATGCTTCACTAAAAAAAGCAAATTTAAGAAGAAAACTATATTTAATCTCAGTGCAAAAAGTCTGCAAATCCCAATCAAGAACCTTTCTTTGAAAATTCCCAATAATTAGATTTAAATGACATGTAGGCAATGATGTTAAATTTTTAAAGTTTTTTAGTAATTTTTTTCACATAAAGAAATATCTGGGTCAGTGCATAGAATCTAAACCAGGGCTGATTGTTATATGAGGATAATGATATTGACTACTGAGATGGAAGGAGATGATGAGGAAGTACTGTCACTAAATATATCTGGTGACATTTGATGCAAAAATCCTCCACAGTTAAAGAATAAAAAACTTTCATAAGCATTTATTCAAATTACATTTACTGGGCAGATCTAATATGACAGGCTTTGTGACCACTGAGTATGGGCAACAACATAGAGAAATCTCACTGATACTATGAATTTACTACCCAAGTTTCAGAACTGAGATTGAAGACACATGACTAGCTTTTCCTTCCACCTTCACAAATCTTTGACTGGTCTCAGAGGTCTGCCTGGGTCTACTGAAGTATATTTAGACTAGAGATTCTATACTAGAGAATATTTCCAATTAGAGATTCATGGTTGCCTATAGCCTGAAGTGCCCTTTGTTTTAGGGTACGAGAAGAAACTGATTTCACCAAAGAGGAAATAACTTCCACAAGGTCATGTAACTCAGTATGGAACCAGGTTTAGCACTCCTCAAGACTGTTGATTCCTTTGGCCCACATATTTTCCATTACAACACAGCACCCTGTCAGTCACTTTATTAAATAGTAACCCTGGTCACTCTTGTAATTCAAGATAATTCAAGACAAACTCAATCTGGGTACAAAGGCATCAAACCAAAATGTAAGGGACGCCTGGGTGGCTCAGCAGTTAAAATGTCTGCCTTTGGCTCATGGTGTGATCCTGGAGTCCTGGGATTGAGTCCTACATCGGGCTCCCTGCATGAAGCCTGCTTCTCTCTCTGCCTGTGTCTGCCTTTCTCTCTCTCTCCGTGTGTCTCTCATGAATAAATAAATACAATCTTTAAAAAAAAACAAACCCAAAACGTAAGCTTTAGAATTACTTCTTAGGGTTAAAGGGTTACGTTCACATTTGTTTGTCTTCAAGCTCTATTTTTCAAAAGGAACTATTCTCAGTTTCTTCACCTTTCAGGGTGACTAGTATGGCTAATGAAATAATGCAGGTATAACTGCTTATTGTAGTGCTCTACACATAGGTTATTCTTTATTTAAAAACAAAACAAAGAGTTAAGATATGGGACAAGAAGAGACTAATCCAAGACTACCCAGGACACTTTCAATGCTTATTGATGTCATTCTTTCTCATTAGGTTTCTTCCTACTCTTTAGATACAATCTTTAAAATGCTCTTGGCATTTGTTCAGGAATAGATTTGCCTTTGGAACTGTATCAGAGTTTGTTTTGTTTTGTTTGAGAGAAAAGTAACTAAACCTAACAGGTAAGAAGATGCCCTAAAATCAACCCAAAAGGCCTATTGGACAACTTAACAGACCAGAAAGGAGACTACATTAATCTCTTAAGCTACCCTTTGCACCTAAGTACCTCTTCCACCTACATCTTAACCATCCTAAAAGCTATTGGAAAAACTACCATTGGTCATTAGGTCCAGAACTGTGCACCTTATTCTAGAAAAGCAGTAGCATGGTATCTCATCTTACCATCCTGCCCAGTAGTAGGGCTTGTTTAATGACAACCAACCTATTAGAATTCACATCGTTTTGCAGCACTCTAAACATCCTACCGCCCCCAGGAACCCAAAAAGCATTTGGATGTAAAACTGCAGGCAATAAAAGACGTTTCATTTTTCGGTTATACCACTGGGTGAGTTGCCCTGAAGCAGTACATGTAAGGAAGAAAAATTTAAATCAGCGTAAAAAGCATCAGTAGTTTCAGAAGGACAAATGATGGAGAGAGTATCCTTAGAGAGAAAGGAATGACTTTTACAATTTTGAGCTAAAAACTCTGAGTCCATGATGTACATATGTCATGGGTCTTAGTGACAGAAGACTGATACAGGCAAGTGTGAAAAGAAAGCTTCTAAAATATACAGCTGTGTTCTTGCCATGAAACAATGGCAGATTCTGAAGAAATCAAGTTAATAAGAAAACCAAATTACTTTTTATGGAGATGCCTGGGTGGCTCAGCGGTTGAGCATTTGCCTTTGGCTCAGGTCGTGGTCTCGGGATCTGGAATCGAGTCCCATGTTGTGCTCCCTGTGAGGAGCCTGCTTCTCCCTCTGACTCTGTCTCTGCCCCTTTCTCTGTCTCTCATGAATGAATAAATAAATCTTTAAAAAAAATTACATTTTATGTAAAGAGAGAAAATTTCACACAGGAAATTTGAAATATTTTACTAACTTTAATCCAATTCTGTTGAGATACTGGGAAGATAAGAACTGTATTTACAAAAAGATATACCTGACTTGAGATCATCATCTTGGCAAAGGTCATACATCAGGATAAGATTAAAACTCACATGTATTGCTAAAGCAAGATAGTCCAGCTGACTATGAACTGGCCTAGACTCCATATTAGCTTCAATTCTTTATATTTTACCACCTAAGCCTAGCTCTAAAATAATGAAATAAATTATAACTGCTAAGAAACATAAAGCTTTGTACTTTGAAAAACCATCAAAATCATTGGGATCTAATGGTGAACAGGCCTTAACAAAAACCTCATATTTAAAAGCACATTCAGTGTATATAATGCTTTCCTATCCCTATCTCACAAGATCAAAAAACTTCTATTGAAGTTGGGAGGGCAGATTCAGTTGGCTGAGCGTCTGCCTTTGGCTCTCAGGTCATGATCCTAGCATCCTGGAATGAGCCCCATATCAGGCTCTCTGCTCAGTGGGGAGTCTGCCTCTCTCTCCCCCCCCCCTCAAATAAATAAAATCTTAGAAACAAAAGAAAGAAATAAAAAAGAAAGATGAACTGTACAAAGGTTAAGAGTAGAAGCAGGGAACCACTCAGGAAGCTTTTGTAGTAGTCCAAGAGAAAGATGCTGCTGATTTTGACTGGAAAGTCTCAGTGGTTAGTAAATAGTTGAATCTGGGGTATATTTGAGACTGATGGACTAAGTGTGGGATTCAAGGATGACTCTTATGTTTTTAGCCCTTGCTATCATATTAGGTGGATAATGGTACATACCCTTTACTAAGATGAGGAAGGATTCTAGAGAAAGATTTGTGGAGAAACTCAGTCATTTTGTTTTGGTTAAGTCCAAGAAGTCCATTAGACATCTCAGTGGATATACCAAGAGGATGGTCACCTAGTATGCAAGGGATGGAAATCAGGATGGAAATATAAAATTATTTTCTTTAAAGATTTTATTTATTCCTAAGAGACACACAGAGAGAGGCAGAGACACAGGCAGAGGGAGAAGCAGGCTTTCTGCGGGGAGCCCAATGTGGGACCCGATCCTGGATCCAAGGATGATGCCCTGAGCAAAAGGCAGATGTTCAACCATGAGCCACCCAGGGGTCCCAGAAATACAAATTTAAGTCATCAGTGTTTAGACAGTATTTAAGACTAGTGAACAGATGAGATCATCTAAGAAGGTATAGCCAGAGAAGGGATGAAGGCCTTATTTCTAGTCCAGGTTATGATTTGTGGAGTCTATCCTAAGAGCAATGGGAAGGTACTGAAGGGTAAATTACCACACAGTTGTGAGTTAAAGTATACTATTTATACTTCTGGTTGTAATGTGGGAAATAACCCAGAACAAGAACAGATAAAAAAAGGACCAGGACCAGCCTGTGGTATGAAGCAGAAGTTAATAAGTAGTAGACTGGTTTGGAAGATGCCTATGAGGCTGTCTAGTTATGATTTGGTGACTTGATGGGGGGTTGGGAGAAAGAACAAAGATGATTCCTAGTGGCTTGAGCAACTTACTGAAGAGAAAAAAGTGCCACTTTGCAGCCTCTCTGGAAAACAGTGTGGAGGCTCCTCAAGAAGTTAAAAATAGAGCTTTCCAATGATGCATCAGTTGCACTACTGGGCATTTACCTCAAAGATACAGATGTAGTGCAATGACATAATAGTCCAATGTTCATAGCAGCAATGTTCACAATAGCCAAACTGTTGAAGGAGCCACGACGTCCTTTGACAGATGAATGGATAAAGACAATGGAATATTACTCAGCCATCAGAAAGGACAAATACCTACCATTTACATCAATGTGGATGCAACTGGAGGGTATTATGCTGCATGAAATTAGTCAATCAGAGAAAGACAATTATCCTTTGGTGACACTCCTATGTGTAATAGAACCAATAGTGAAAGGGACCTTAAGGGAAGTGGGGGAAACAGAGGGGGTAAAAATCAGAGAGGAAGACAAACTACCATAGACTCCTAACTCTGGGAAACAAAGGGTTGCATAAAGGGAGGCGGGTGGGGGGATGGGGGTAACCTGGTGATGGGCATTGAGGAGGGCAGGTGATATGATGAGCACTGGGTGTTACACTATATGTTGGCAAATGGAAGTTATTTTTACTTATTTTTTTTTAAAGATTCCATTTATTTATTCATGAGAGACAGAGAGACAGAGAGAGAGAGAGGCAGAGACAAAGAAGCAGGCTCCATTCATTTGGGGAATATACAAAAAATAGTGAAAGGGAATAAAGGGGTAAGGAGAAAAAATGAGTGGGAAATATCAGAAAGGGAGACAGAACATGAGAGACTCCTAACTCTGGGAAAGGAACTAGGGGTGGTGGAAGGGGAGGTGGGCGGGGGATGGGGGTGACTGGTGACGGGCACTGAGGGGGGCACTTGATGGGATGAGCACTGGGTGTTATTCTATATGTTGGCAAATTGAACACCAATAAAAAAATAAATTTATTTAAAAAAAGAAAGAAAAAGAAGCAGGCTCCATGCAGGGAGGCCTACGTGGGACTTGATCCCAGGTCTCCAGGATCACACCCCAGGCTGAAGGTGGCGCTAAACCGCTGAGCCACCCAGGCTGCCCGGTAAATGGAATTTAAATAAAACTTTTAAAAGTGCGACTTCCCGGAAAAGGTAGCCTTAGTAAATTTTTGAGGGGACGATATGAAGTCCTTATTGGGACATGCTCAATTTCAAGGTGCCCCATGAGATACCCAGAGAAAGATTTTGGGTAGACTGTTGGGATACTGTGGTAGATTTACTACCAGCACAGGTGCAAATGAAGGAACTTTAGTTCAGAAAAACCAAGGATGTAGATGTGTAGATGTGCATCTACAAGATGCCCGTGTGCATCTTCCCGCTTTCTCAGACGCCGAGGTTCAAAACCCGGAGAAGCCTCATCAAGGACCAGGACTCAACTCTTCAGCTCCGAGGTTCAGTCAGGCATTCAAAAGCAGAAACTCACAGATTACTAAAACATGATGGGACAAGAAATGTCTCAAAGGGACTAGCCTTGCTTTCGTGGCAACCGCTATGCCTGGGTCCAGGGAAGGCTGCAGACCAGAGCAAGTGTTTTCCTTGGTGGGGGAAAGCGAAGGGGGACAGAGAGGGAGGGCAGGGAGGGGAGAAGGGCACGGAGGTGGAGGGAGGGGAAGGAGGGGGAATGGGGGGGGAGGGATGGGGAGGCGGAGGGAGGGGGCAAAAGGGAGGCGGAGGCGTTCTAAGGCGCCGAGCGGCCAGGGTCTGACTGACTGCTGGGGCCCCGGGGCGCTCAGCCCGGGAAGCGGTTCTGTACGAGGCGCCCCCCACCCCCACCCACCCCGGACTCTCTCGCACTCCCGCGGCCCGCAAGCGGCCACCCCGCCTGGCCCTTGGGGGTATCTGCGGGACGGTGGCGCCGGGCCTCAAACTCTCCCTCGGAAAATAAAGGCAAGAAAGCGCCAACCTCAGGGGAGCACCAGGCCGCTGTGGGCCATTACCTCAGACCCAAGAACTTCCCAGGCCCGGCCAGGCTCCTACACAGGCTTAGAGTTCTTCGCGCCTCGTAAAAGTGGCCTCAGCCGAAGCTGCCACTAGAGAGCGCCCCCAAAAGCGCCGGGCGTCCACAGCCCGAGGAGCGCGACTCCGGAACTCTCTCAGACCCCCGCGGGCGCTTTGGCTTTTGCCGCGCGCCCGCCAGGCCTTCAGCGCACGCGTAGCTGCGCTCCCCCTCCCCGCCAGCCGGGCGTTCGGCACATGCGCAAACGCGCTTCCTCGCCTCGCGTGGCGGGAACGCGCGCAGGCTTGGCCACGATGTGCGCGTGCGCTGCGTGGCGACACCGCCCTTGCGTGGCGCGAAGCCGGGGTTGGGAGAGGCCTTCCGGCCCCCCCCGTCGGAGCACCGGCCCCGGGCGCTTTTTTTGGTCTCTACGCAGCCTGTCTGCCTATTGTTATTTTTACGCAGCCTGTCCACCAATTGTTGGATTAGCGCACGCTCTGTCCCTTGCGTGGTCCGGTCGGGAGCTGCTTCCTGCGGGGCACCTACTACGTGTCAAACGTCGTGCAGGCACTTCCATACTCGCTCTCCTTCTACCCTGACCGCCATGTTGTAAAGCAGTCATCAATATCCTAATTTTAGGGCAGCCCGGGTGGCTCAGTGGTTTAGCGCAGCCTTCAGCCCAGGGCGTGATCCTGGAGACCCGGGTGGAGTCCCACGTCGGGCTCCCTGCATGGAGCCTGCTTCTCCCTCTGCCCGTGTCTCTGCCTCTCTCTCTCTCTGTCTCATGAATAAATAAATGAAATCTTTATATATATATATATATATATATATATATATATATATATATATATATATATATCCTAATTTTAAAAAGTCCCGGGAATGGTCCTCTTCACTGCTCTTGCTGTTCCCATGCTTGGAATGCCTCCTTCACCCCACTTAAAAACTATTTCACATGCCCAACTCTTTGAAAGAAGTGGATGGAGGGCAGGGGGAAGAGGCACTTGCCCCACCTAAATAAGGCATGTGTTACCCAGTGTCCCACTGAAGGGAGGCCTTTTGAGAAGTGTGAACTGGTAATGCCAGATCTGATTTTCATGGGAAATCTCCCAATTTAAAAATGTTGGCAGCTGATTTGTGGACTGAAACTAACACATTTGTGTGCACAGGTCTTAAGCCACCCATTTGTGACTCTGACCTTGTTTGGCAAAGAGTAGTTTGACCAAGTTAGTTGGAGGTGAGCCCCAGAGAAGGGCAGCCTTCTGACAGCTGTTGTGAACACATCCCTTGCACAATCCATGCTGGGGAACCAAGAGAAAGACCCTTCTTTGGGCAGAGTGGGGATGGGGTCCATTGCAGGGTAAAGGAATCAGGATTCTGGTGAGGCTGGAGAAAACTATTCTGTACCTGTGCTGTTTACTTATAATCCACCTAACTGGATATTACTTGTACCTAAGATTGTGGTAAACAAGGTTGTGAGTCTTAAATGGCCACTTGTGATATACATGATTTCCTATGGAGGAAGACCCGGGTCAAGGGTGAAGGACAGAGGAAATAATCACTGGACACAAATACTCTTTATTTACAACCAGCCAGAAGGGAAATAGGCAGAAACCCAGGGGATTCTAACCAAAAGCCTTACTTATTACAACCCAAATGACCAAACATCCCACTTCTT